TCAGCATGGTTTTATGAAACATAGGTCATGTCAAACTAACCTAATTGCATTCTACGAAGAAGTAAGTAGAAGTATAGATCAGGGTGTTGCAGTGGATGTGATCTACTTGGACTTTGCCAAGGCATTTGATACGGTTCCTCACAATAGGTTAGTCTTCAAACTAAAAGAAATTGGTCTAGATGAATATTCCTGTTCTTGGGTAGAACATTGGCTTAAGGACAGAGTACAACGAGTTGTCATTAATGGTAAATTTTCAGGCTGGACAAAAGTGGTAAGTGGTGTCCCTCAGGGTTCTGTTTTGGGACCACTTCTATTTAACATATTTATAAATGATCTTGAAATAGGCATTGAAAGCCATGTATCAGTGTTTGCAGATGACACAAAACTTTGTAAAGTAATAAAATGTGAGCAGGATATTGCTTTGTGCAGAGAGATTTGGATAGATTGGGGGACTGGGCACTAAAATGGCAGATTAAATTTAACATAGAGAAATGCAAAGTTATGCACTTCGGGGTTAAGAATGCACAAGCAACTTACACACTAAATGGTAGTGAATTAGGGATAACCACACACGAGAAGGATTTGGGCATTGTTATAGACAACAAATTAGGCAGCAATATGCAATGTCAATCTGCAGTTGCTAAGGCCAGTAAGATTTTGTCATGTATAAATAGGGGCATAAATTCTCGGGATGAAAATATAATTTTGCCTCTTTATAAATCGCTGGTAAGACCACACCTTGAATATGCTGTGCAATTTTGGGCGCCTGTTCTAAAGAAGGATATCATGGCACTGGAGAGGGTCCAGAGACGAGCTACAAAATTGATAAAAGGAATGGAGCATTTTAGTTATGAAGAAAGGTTACAAAAATTAAATCTGTTTCGTTTGGAAAAACGGCGCCTGAGAGGGGATATGATAAATTTATACAAATATATTCGGGGCCAGTACAAACCTTTATCTGGAAATCTATTCATAAACAGGGTTATACATAGGACACGAGGTCACACATTTAGGCTGGAAGAAAGGAGATTTCATCTAAGGCAAAGAAAAGGTTTTTTTACAGTAAGAACAATAAGGATATGGAATTCTCTGCCTGAAGAGGTGGTTTTGTCAGAGTCCATACAGATGTTTAAACTGAAATTGGATAAATACTTACAAAAACATAACATACAGGGATATAATTTCTAATTAGTGGGGTAATAGCTGATTGATCCAAGGAGACATCTGACTGCTATTTTGGGGTCAAGAAGGAATTTTTTCCTAGTTTGTGGCAAAATTGGAAGTGCTTCAGACCAGGTTTTTTGCCTTCTTTTGGATCAACAGCAACAACATTTCTGAGGAAGGCTGAACTTGATGGACGCAAGTCTCTTTTCAGCTATGTAACTATGTAACTATGTAACTATGAACGTGAATGCCAGTGTTGCACATTGTGTAACACTGGACTAGGAAGCATCTCTAGTGGCCGTCTGATGAGTGGCCTCTAGAGGTAATCCTAGGCAGTAATGTAACCACTGCGTTTTCTCTGTGTGTTTATGTTAAAAAGCCTGCAGAGACAAGCTATAGACACCAGAACTACTGTGTTATGCTGTAATGGTTCTGGTGACAATAGTGTTCCTTGAATATTCCTGTGTAGATAAAGTAAACAGTAGATTTTATTAGCAGGGATCAGTATTTATAAATCTACATGGCTCACTTCTTACGTAAAAAATACAAATGTCACTTGGAAGAAAATCCTTAAAATGATGGTGCTTAAAGGAAAAAAAAAAACAGCACAAAAGTATGAAATAAAATGCTGTATCATTATTCTAGACATGAAAAACCCCAAAAACTAAGCACATTCCTAGCCTGATTTTTAGCACAGCTTATGACACAAATATTTTTTATTTTGCAGATTACTTATATATATATATATTTTTTATAAATGCATAGATTGTGTACTAACCCCCCACCCTTTGCCCTCTCCAACCTTCCCACCCTCCCTGCCCCCTTCTCTAACCCCCCCTTTTAAATAAGTAATAGCCCCCCTTATTCCTTATTAATTAAATACCTGCAGTTTTGAAGACCAGCAGGCTCAGGATTCAGGATTCAGGAGCCGCTTTGCTTTTTGTTCTGGAGGGAGAGTCAGGAGACTGATGACGGCCGCTGCACAGCCTGTGTCCCCGGGCTCACCCTGGCGTTGCCGTGACTCCACTTATGCGTGACATCATGTGATGCGGGAGCACGGTACGCTGCAGGCGCAGAGCCAGGGAGGAGGAGCAAGTAAGTCCTGCACTACGCGGCGATGCTGCTCGCATAGTGAAGGATTGGATGGATGAGGATCGCTGGGACATCCCAAAATAAATAGATAATAGCAGAACATATCTATTATCTATTTATTTAACAAATTGTTGTGGCCAGCGGGGCTCAAGAGGCAACTGCCTTGGGCCCCCGAGGAGCAACTGGGCCCGGGGCAACTGCCCCTTTAGCCCCGCATTAAAGACTGCCCTGACTCCCAGGCTAATGAATAAGCCGCAATAGGTTTGCTAAGTTTAAGGCTGTCAGCTTCAACAAAGTATTGCTAAGTTGCACACAATTTGCCACTTACGAACTCATAAAATATGTGAAGCTCACCTCGTAAAACAAACACGTTATTGCCAGTGACTAAGGATGTGCATTGGAAAAAATTTGGTTTGGTTCGGAAATTCAGGTAAGTAAAAAAATACGGCACTTCAGTTCAGTTTGGCACTTCTGAAATTCGGGACTTTGGCAATTCGGGACTTTGGCACTTCGGTTCGGTACCACACTTCCGAAATTCGGCACTTCCGAAATTCAGGACTTCTGGAAATCGGGATTTCTGCAATTCGGGACTTTGGCACTTTGGGACTTCGGCACTTCAGTAATTCGGACATTCGTAAGCATCCCTCTCTTTCCACCACAACCACTTACACATCAGTAGGGCTCCCTAACCCTAAGGGGTAGGGTTAGGGTATGGTTATGGTTAGGGTTAAGGGTCTGGTTAGCGATAGGGTTAGGGGTAGGGTTAGGTGCCCGCACTGCCACCACAACCACTTACACATCTATAGAAATCCCAGTGCCAGAAATTAGCTTATTGGTCTAGATTCCTGTCATCATTCATGTAATTTTCCCTCCCTCTCTTGTTTTGCCACTTTTCAGAAATCCGAAGCACTTCGGCACTTCCGAAATTTGGTACTTCGGCAATTCGGTTTGGCGCTTCCAGAATTCAACACTTCAGCAATTCGGCACTTCAGCAATTCACCAATTTGGTTCGGTTCTTCACTTCTGAAATTCGGCCGAATTTATATTCAGAACGAAATGAATTACACATGTCTACCAGTGACATACCTCAGTAGACTAATGCATCATCAGTCGAATTGGTTCAGCCCTTGGGGGGGTCACAGGTTTAAAGCACGGCAGGGTTGACTCAGCCTTTCATCCTTCCAAAACACTAGATAAAACGAGTACCATTAAATTGGGTAATAGTGACATCCCCTAGATTTGTGCAAAAGTAACATCCCCAGGACGTACTTGAAAACCAGAGTGGTCTGAATGTACCTTTCCTGGTAAAATGTTCTTATTATATCAAGCACTCTTGTTTATAATGTATTATGTGAAACCAGCTGTGTACTTCTCCAGTGCATTTATTATGTTCATAAAAGAGGGAACACTTTTGATAAAGCCTATCCAAGGAGAAACGCATTAAGTGTATTGTTTACAACTTTTTTATCACTATTTAATTTTATAATATATTGTATTACTTTTATTATTTTTTTAATATTAAAGTACTTTTTTAATTGGACCTAACTTTGCTGCTGTTGGATTGTTTGGAGCTATATCCCTGATAGGGATCATACCACCCAAGCGCTTTGGTTTGAGCAAACCGGAACTTGCTCTTTAGCATGTGAGTAGGTTTAATTTATTTATTTCTGCTTACACTCCTTTTTACGGTGTACCCTATTGTGGTTCTGTTTGTTTATCTCCACATATACACGGACGGATGAAATTATATTTACACCTGTGTCTTAGAGTGGGGATCATACCACTTCGAGCGCTATCAGGTTTTACGGCTCCATTACACGTGAGTGTACATTTTATAGTTTTTACCTACCCTTGCTTCATAGCTCGACATACTTCACCATACACGATTTTTATTTGTTTATTTTTTCACGAGGATACCTTCTACCACACCTATAACTTGAAGAATTACCTCTGCACTTGATCCATGGACGGGGATTATTCCACCCACGCGCATACACTGGAGCTGTATTTAAGCTCCAGCAAAAGTGTGAGTGCACATCTTTTATTTTACCTATCACCACTACAGTTTTAAATACTACACTATTATTTCTTCTCTGGTTCTCTTTACATATACCTTGTCAAGGATTACTGAAGAGCTGCACGTACCCCCCGTTTTTATAAAAGACAGAATGCACAGGCTTTCCAGTAAATCAGAGTATTGAAGGATTACTCGGGTTACCTAGGACAGGTTAGGTTTGGGTGCAGTAGCCCTGTCCTTTTAACCATGCAATGTAAAACATAGACTTTTTTGGAGTTGAATACCCCTCTTCTTCTGTCTTCCTGACAGCCATAAGGGGAGCTTCCGCAGCACTGATCAAGTAAAACTCATGTGACATGGAAGCTCCCTATAGAAAGCATAGACTTAATGCATTTATATGGAAGCTTGGGTGTTTGTACAGCACCTGCTGCGCATGCACGTTAGGTCTCGCACACGGGGGGGAGGGACCACTAAAACTAGGGACAGTGACACCGAAGAGTTAGGAATACAGGTTTGTATTCCTAATGCTATTTATTCCATTAAGTATCAGTAGATACAACTTCACAACATTGTATCGAAGATATAACAAAAATATATCAACATATAGCAAGGGATCAAATAAGATCAATGAGCAGAATAAGAACGATTACTGTGTTTACCACCAAGATTAGAAGCTGTTCTGTCCCTCTCAAACCCAAATATTAGCAAATATGTTTTATATTTTAACTCAGAGCTTATTGGCTTCAGTTTTTGGACCCAGTCCCAATCCAAGAGCACTGGGAGGCTTACGATAAGCCTGAGAAAGATAGAACATTGTGCAATTTAATTTAATTTGCAAAGAAATGCACAATACAGTCCTAGGAGATTAAGAGCAGCAAGCTTTAATATTGACTCGTCATGGTTAATTAACAAACAGCGACAGGAGAACAAACTGTCTTCGAGAGGTAAAATGATTATATGGGACTCTGCCAAACCTCTCCAGACAGAATCATCTGAAAGTTTCGCATTTCATAAATGCTTATAGAGAAATCAAGAGTTACAGCCTTGTATACATAGGCTCTCATGCTTTGATCTTTCACAGATCTCTGTTGATGCTGTTGATTCATAGGGAAACAAAAAAACAAAATCAAACGCCCAACTGAGCTGCAAAGACAGAAAACTCTTTTGATTTCAGAGTGGCAGTTGGCTTTCTCCTAAAGTCAACAAACTAATTAATAATAAAATGCATGTTGCTAATATTTATTTATAAAATATTTTACTAGGACGCATACATTGATATTTCTCTATTTGTCCTGGGCCCACAAATATTATTATTATTATTTTTATTATTTATAAGGCGCCAACAAATTCCGTAGCGCTGAACAATGGGTGGAATGACAGACATGTAATTGTAACCAGACGAGTTGGATGCACAGGAACAGAGGGATTGAGGGCCCTGCTGAGTGAGGTTACATGTTAGAGGGAGTGGGGTATAGTGACACAGTAACAGAGGGATTGAGGGCCTGCTCAGTGAGTTTACATGTTAGAGGGAGTGGGGTATACTGACACAGTAACAGAGGGATTGAGGGCCCTGCTCAGTGAGTTTACATGTTAGAGGTAGTGGGGTATAGTGACACAGTAACAGAGGGATTGAGGGCCTGCTCAGTGAGTTTACATGTTAGAGGGAGTGGGGTATAGTGACAGTAACAGAGGAATTGAGGCCCTGCTCAGTGAGTTTACATGTTAGAGGGAGAGGGGTATAGTGACACAGTAACAGGGGGATTGAGGGTCCTGCTCAGTGAGTTTACATGTTAGAGGGAGTGGGGTATAGTGACACAGTAACAGAGGGATTGAGGGCCCTGCTCAGTGAGTTTACATGTTAGAGGGAGTGGGGTATAGTGACAGTAACAGAGGGATTGAGGGCCTGCTCAGTGAGTTTACATGTTAGAGGGAGTGGGGTATAGTGACACAGTAACAGAGGGATTGAGGGCCTGCTCAGTGAGTTTACATGTTAGAGGGAGTGGGGTATAGTGACACAGTAACAGAGGGATTGAGGGCCTGCTCAGTGAGTTTACATGTTAGAGGGAGTGGGGTATAGCGACACAGTAACAGAGGGATTGAGGGCCCTGCTCAGTGAGTTTACATGTTAGAGGGAGTGGGGTATAGTGACAGTAACAGAGGGATTGAGGGCCTGCTCAGTGAGTTTACATGTTAGAGGGAGTGGGGTAAAGTGACACAAAAGGTAAGGTAGCATTGCATTGTTACATTAGGTTACAATATAATATTACACATAAAACCAATATCCTTATCTATATACATACAAACATTTATAAATTTTACACATAACAGATTATTAAAATATTCAACCATGACAGGTGCATTCTGTATTGAGGTTTAGAGGGGTCTGCCTTGACATTGGCAGGCGGGCATTTGCTCCAATGGCCATTGGAGTAACTAAATGACCTCCATTTGTTTAAATATACATAGGGATTTAGGAGAGAGTGCAGGTAACTTTTTCTTTGGTTTTTACTGTATTGAGTTATGTTGCCATAGATCTCTTAAAAGATTTTAGATTGAGTGAAGATTTGACCGTGTCCCTGAGGTTATTCCATAATTGCGGTGCATTAAGACACTTTATTTTTGTATCATGGTATATTAAATAAAGTGCTGGTACTGGTTACAGAGGTGGGAACAGCTGGGGAGAGCATTCTACTGAGGTAGGGTGGAAGCTTCCCAGAAAAGCTGTTAAATATAAGGCTGGGAAGATGAAGGGTGCGTCTGGATTCCAGCGACAGCCAGTTTAGCTCCTTTAACATGTTTCAATGGTGGGTCCTGTAATTACATTGTAGTTCAAAGCAGCAGATTAGTTATATAACGTATTATGTTTATGAAGGTGTGTTTGCGGTGCAGGTGCATCCCCATAACTACACTACATCCCCATAATCATCAATGACCGGCATTAGCATTTGTTGTACAATATGATTCCTAACTGCGGGGCTTAAGCAGGATTTGTTTCTGTAAAGGGCATTTAGTTTTGGATAAAGTTTCGATGAGCATTTTTGAATGTGAAGGCCAAAGGATAGATGGGGGTCCATACCTAGATATATGAAAGAAGAAACTGCGGTCAGTGTTCTATTTTAATTTTATATCAAATATGTTATGAAGTCCCCCGACATGTGCAGACCCATTTCAATTATGTGATAACATTTTATTTATATTGTACATAGGAGTGCTGGTATTTCTGTATGATTACCACATTATTCTGTATATACCCTTTGCATCCAGTCTTTATATGCATGATGTGCATTAATGGGTATAAGTACTTTCTTGGCTACTTAAATGCTGCTATGTGATTTTGTTTTGATGCATAGTTGGGAGTTTTGTAATTTATGTAATTTAGGTACTGTTACAAAGATTATTGTGACAGTTTTGTCAGTGTTTAGGAAAAGTTTGTTATTTTCTACCTCTGTGAATTGGTCTTGAAGCACAGCCTCAATCTGCAGTTAATTTGGTTTGCCAGTGGAGTTTACTGTGTCGTATGCATACATGTGACAGTTGAGGCTTTGCAGACATTAGGAAGATCATTTATGAATAATGTGAATAGCAGGAGGCTGAGTATGGAACCTTGGGAAACACCACACGTGACCTGAAGAGGGAGGCGCTATCAGAAATGGTCACATATTGCAACCGGTCTGATACATATGGTCGAAACCAGGTTAGTGTTTTTACAATAGAATGCCAGGGTCTACTGTATCAAAGGCCTTGGCAAAATCAAGGTAAAAGTTCCAGTCAGGTCTACTGGTTCCATGCTAGTTTGGATGTCACTATAAACTTTTAAGAGGGCAGTTGTAGTTGAGTAATTTTAATGAAAGCCTGATTGATCAGGGGTCAGATAGTTTGATTGTTGATAATATTCACATAGTTTTTCCAAGATTTTTGCCAATACTGGGAGCAATGATATCGGTCAGTAATTAGACACCAAAGTATTGTCTCAACTTTTATGGATAGGTACTACTTTTTCAGTCTTCCAAAGTTTGGGTATGTATCCAGACACCAAGGATTCATTGATTAGGGTAGTGACAGTTTTAGCAATTGCCGGCGCACTGAGCTTCAGCAACATTGCTGGGATTTGATCTGGTCCACACTGGTTTTCATTTTTAGATTAATAACATGTTTATTAATGACACAACAGGCACATGCCTAAAATTTTTATATGAGGTCTTTACAAATTTAGTAGTTTCTGATCTGCAATTCTAGAACATGTGTCATTCGTTAGTTTAGCAATTACACCCTGTTCCAAATTATTATGCAAATGATATTTTTCTCATTTACCTAAATAATTGATGTAAATAACAGTCAGCATAATTCTCATGTTACCAACTATTAAGAGTACAATTCAAATTTTATTGAACAAACCTCCTAATGATAACAGTATTTTTTTTTTAAACATAAAAAACTTACAATGCACTGTTCCAAATTATTACACACAGTAAGTTTCAAAACACTTTATAGGTTGTAAAGAACTGAAAATTGTCATTTGTTGTGTTTGCAGCATATTTACTGAAATCAAAAGCTATTTCAATCAAACTTATAACAACATTTTAACTTTTTAAACATTTAACAGGTCACGTTACATTTTAACATAGGACCCCTTATTTGATAGCAGCTTCACAAGTCTTGCATTCATTGAACTTGTGAGTTTTTGGACAGTTTCTGCTTGAATTTGTTTGCAAGATGTCAGAATAGTCTCCCACCCTCATAGATCTGTTGCTTGAGGATGATCCAAAGGTTCTCAATAGGATTGAGGTCAGGGGAGGATGGAGGCCACACCATGACTTTCTCTCCTTTTATCCCCATAGCAGCCATTGATGCAGAGGTATTCTTTGCAGCATGAGATGGTGCATTGTCATGCATGAAGATGATTTTATTACGGAAAGCATAGTTCTTCCTTCTATACCAGGGAAGAAAGTGGTGAGTCAGAAACTCCACATACTTTGCAGAGGTCATCTTTACACCTTCGGGGACCCTAAAGGGGCCGACCAGCTCTTTTCCCATGATTCCGGTCCAAAACATGACTCCACCTCTGCCTTGCTGACGTCGCAGCCTTGTTGGAACAGAGTGGCCGTCCACCAACCATCCACTACTCCATCCATCTGGACCATCCAGGGTTGCATGGCACTCATCAGTGAACAGGACTGTTTGAAAATTAGTCTTCATGTATTTTTCATGTATTTTTCTGCCCAATGCAGCCGTTTCTGCTTGTGAGCATTGGTTAGTGGTGGCCAAATAGAAGGTTTATGCACAGTTGCAAGACTCTGGAGGACTCTACACCTTGATGTCCGTGGGACTCCAGAGGCACCAACAGCTTCAAATATCTGTTTGCTGCTATGTAATGGTATTGTAGCAGCTGCTCTCTTGATCCGATGCATGGATCTGGCAGAAATCTTCCTCAATGTGCCTTTATCTGCTCGAACCCGTCTGTGTTCTGAATCAGCCACAAATCTCTTAATAGTGCAATGATCACGCTTAGGTTTTTTGTGAAATATCTAATGTTTTCATACCTCGTCCAAGGTATTGAACTATTTCACTCTTTTCGGCAGCAGAGAGATCCTTTTTCTTCCCCATATTACATGAAAATGGTGCTCTGCTTAATAATGTGGAACACCCTCCTTTAGTAGATTTTCCTTAAATTGGGCTCACCTGGCAATCTAATTATCACAGGTGTCCGAGATTGTTTTCAGTGATCAAAAGAGCCCTGAGGCACAATGCCATCCATGAGTTAAACTGAAAAACAAAATATTTAATCTTTGTGACACTTAAATAGAATTTGCATAATAATTTGGAACAGGGTGTAGAGTGGTGGCAAATCCAACAAAATAATTATTAAAGGCATTTGCTACATCTATGGGGTGTTGCAGGGTTTGGTTGTCCATTTTGACAGTGGAGGGTTTGGAGGGGATTTTGTGGTTTCTTGGGTTTTATTGTTCAGTTTTTTACTGAAATGTTGTGCCTTTGCCATTTTTGTTTGTTTTGCCATTGTCTGTAGGCACAGTGATCATTCATGGAGCCGGTATGCTTGAACCTTGACCACAATGAATCTCTAAACTGGAACACTGGTCAGAGTGGGGCCTCTGACTCCCATCGGCCTGCGCCAGTGGTGTATCCTGGTTTTGTGCTGCCCTAGGCCACCACTGGACCCAAGGGAAAGTCACCGTCTTGCACCTGAAAGGTAGGAAACAGGAGGGTGACTTAAACATTTTGCATATGTGTGTTATTGTATGAGTTTGTTTGTCTGTATGTGTCTGTGTGTGTGTATGTGTCTGTATGTGTCTGTGTGTGTGTGTCTGTAAGAATGTGTATGTGTCTCTGTATGTTCTCTGTGTGTATGTGTGTGTCTGTATGGATGTGTTTCTGCATGTGTGTGTGTTTGTATGTCTGTATGTATGTGTTTGTATGTGTGTGTCTGTATGTATGTATGTGTGTGTGTCTACATGTTTTTGTGTCTCTATGTATGTCTGTAAATGGGTCTCTGTGTGTATGTGTGTGTGTTTGTATGTGTGTATGTATGTATGTGTGTGTTTGTGTCTGTATGTATGTGTGCATGTATGTGTGTGTCTACATGTTTGTGTCTGTGTGTGTATCTGTTTGTCTGCATGTGTGGGGGGGCAGGGATGTATGAGGTGGGGGTAGATGTATGGGGGGGCCCAAGGGTAATTTTCACACCGGGGCCCCGTGGTTTCCAGTTACGCCTCTGATTAGTTATTATTTTAAGGATTGATCTAATCAACATTAACATCTCCAAAAACAGCAGTTCACGTTTTTGGTTTTGAGCTACAGTTTCACTAAAGAGATGGGCTATGTCAGAAAGGGAATGCATTGGAGAGCTAGGTGGGCGCTAGATTCCAGCAACAATGATCATTTTACTGAAAGGGATCTCGATTGTGCCAGGAAAAAAAACATAGGTGGAAGGGAAACTATAATTTAGATGAACTTTAGGGACTTGTCAACATAAATAATAATGCCACCTCCTCTCTCTGCTCCGTCATTTCTAAAACATGAATACCCCTGTATTGCAATGGCGGAGTCTGGTATTTTTTTAATACCATTATTCTGATATTGGGCTTGTAATGGGAACACCAAGCTCGCAGTGCATCGAGTTTAGGGAACAAGCTGCAGATGTTACAGTGCATTAAGGAGAGGCTTATTTTTTGTTAGCGGGGAGACTAGGAATCAGCTGTGGGACCAGGGACAGAATCCACATCATTAGCCTGAATATCCTTCTCTTCAAAAAAATAAAATAAAAACGTTTAAAACATCACATGAATTGGGCAAAATAACTACCGATAATGAATCCCATGTCTTTATTGTAAAGGACCCTTATCGCTGCTGTACCGTAAATACCATTCCCTCAATTCTCAATACTAACTTCTCATTTAAATTGCAAATCAAAGAGAAATAAAGTGACCCCTGGTAGCTAATTGGTAGCCTTGTTATTATGATGAATTATATTATAATAAAACCACCAAGGAGCAAAATTTTAGTGTAAACACATAAAAATATTTGGATGATTAATGCATTGTTGTATGTTAGCAGATGCACACATCTTATCCACTAGGTGGCACTATTGGAGAAAAAATCACTAAAGAATTGGCAAACAGACCTCGTGAGTGTACCATGAAGATCTGGGTGTATGTGAGCTTGGAGCATTGCGCAGCCAAAATAAAATGATCAAAAAGGAAAGTCAACACACCAAAGTGAAAAGGGAGAGTTAAGATATGCTCCTTGACGTAGTTACATAGCGGAAAAGGGACATCAAATGCATCCATCAAGTTCTGCTTTTCTCAAATCTGTTTTTGCTGTTGATTCAAAAGAAGGCAAAAAACACAGTCTGAAGAACTTCCAATTTTGCAACAAACTAGGAAACACTTATTTCTTGACCCCAGAATGACAATCGGATATCTCTTTTGATTAAAACGCTATTATCCCACAAATTAAAAATGATATCCTTTAGTATTCTGTTTTTGCAAGTATTCTTCCAATTACTGTTTAAACATCTGTACAGATTGTGATAAAACCACCCCCTCTTACTGTCTTAGACTAAATCTCATTTCTTCCAGTCTAAACTTGTGTCCTGTGTTTAGATCTGCTTGTAAATAGATTTCTACACAATGGTTTGTATAATGTTATCTTATCCACTTTGAGGCTAAACTAAGGAGATTTACAGTTGTTCCCCTTTCTTAATAACGTTAATTAATAACTTAATAAAAATAATGTCAATAAAAAATATCCTTCTTTTTTAGAACAGGTGAATTCAATGTGAATTTTACATCGTAGGTATACTGGAAGCATAGCTGACAGGGTAAATATTTACAGATCATTAATTTGTTGAATTTGAAAGTCACTTAGAATTCTTTTTTAGTTTTTCACGTTAGAAAATATCCCTGTCAATAGCATTCTTTATGTGTGAAGTCAGTCAGCAATATACTACAGCATAATACGATGGTTCTCTGGTGCGGAGCGTCTTTTCAAAAATGTTCTTCTGCCCGATGTTGCGGTTGGACCCAACATCCATAATGGAAAGGTCCTGCACAAAATCCACCTTCTTCTATGCAACTACCATATGTCATATAATATAGACATATTGGGGGATTTATCAAAGTTACATTCCATCATTATTTGCATTGTATTTATTAAAGTGATCTAAAAAGTTGCAGTTTTCTATATAGTAAGTTTTTGCAGAAATTTCAAAGAGCTGCCAAATTTATGCTGGTGGGAAAAATTCGTAAACTCATTGTGTGTATTAAAAAATGACAGCTGAGGTGTAAAGAACGCAGATGAAACAATCTTTTAATCACAAAAACAGTTTTGCTGAAAATTAGACCTAAATTTTGGTGACACTTTGTTAAAAGTCTCCCCTCTGATGTTTTACTTTCTGTGTTACTTTCTGTATAAAAAGATGTTTAATTCCTTCCTGATTTCCTCTATTTTTGAACATTTGAGCCACTGAAGGGTTTTGGATCTTCCAATAGATTTCATTCCCTTCTATTAGCAAATATTATTTTTTAATTTTTTTATAGGAAAGACAGTTTACTTGAAGTTACATTGTTTACGGTGAATTTTATTCAGTTATACGGTGAAAGTATCAGGCAGCGCTGCTGGAAATAAACAGATATTATATGTGTTTAATCTACTCAAAAAGAATCCTCTTCCTCTAACCATTTCCCTGTCTCTGACGTGTTGGAGATCTCTGAAAGAAATTCCCAGAAATCAGAAATGGAGGAATGTTAAATGAAAAGAAATGCTGAGTGAGCCTTCATGGTATAATCTCAGGGTGCCTCGTTTTAAGCCTCGTGGCATGTGCTATAGTCAGTAATAATCAAGAATTACAACAGCTCAAGCCTCCATTGAGGTTTTCATGCTTTTAATCTATATATAGACTTATATTTTAAACACAATTGTTGATAAAGATGATACATCGTTTTTTAAAGCTGAGATCGCAGTTGATGTCCCTTCTTTTGGAGTGGCACATTAAATCCTACTAAGAATTCACAAACCCTGTGTTTCCATGACTGTGAGGATCCGAGGCTAAGGGTGGCTAGTAATCAACCATTATTGTTACTGATACACTTCACACTGGAAATTCAGTTACACTTCTCCCATTGTGTATCTACAGCAGGAAAGGGTTTGACAATAAGCATGGTCATGGAACACTCCAGAACATGCACTATATTGGGAATTGAAATGGCACTAGACAAGGTAGGATCAGGAGACTATGTAGACTATGTAGAGTAATGGGAATGGGCAGTTTCAGGAACCTCTAAATGCTTCATAGAATCAATGTCTTGGTAAACTTAATATATAAACACACAGTATTAGATGTTTCATATTTTTATTTTACTGTAATATTATGCAAGCCTAACAAGCTATACCTTAAAATAAGACTTTTGGCCCAACAACATACATCATGAATGCTCTGTAGATAGATAGATAGATAGATAGATAGACAGATAGATAGACAGACAGATAGATAGATAGATAGATTGTATTATATTATATTATATTGTATTATATCATATTATTTAGACATATTACATAGTAAAGTAACACTCTGGGCTCCATAACAGCTTAATTTGAATGTAGTTGATATGGTATGAGGAGGTGCCATTTTCATTCCATTTTGAGAATTGGGAGCTTGTGATAGGATAGAATGTTAGCTGATGCGCTCAGCCTCTCAGGGATATCCAGTGTCCATGGATTTCTTAGTTAAAGCAAGTACTGCAATGGAAGTTAAGAGGCAGAGTTGTCTAATGCTGGAATGAAAAATTTGGGGTTTTATTTTTCATTAATTGCTTAAGCCAGCACCAGTGCCTCCTCGCACCATGACAACTTAATTATGATGAATTTATTATTCTGGTGTAATATTTAATAATTACTTTGTTCTACACATGTTTCCATTACTGATCCCTCGTGGATTGAAGCTGATATTGTATGGCTTTGGGACATTGGAGAAGCCCACCATCTGAGGAGAGATGTCCATGTCCGCTGGGTTCTCCGGAGTACTGATATCGAAATGTTGCAGAAGGGTAGTGATGAAAATAAATAACTCTAGACGGGCAAGACTCTCCCCGAGGCAGACTCGCTTCCCTGGGCAACATAAAAAAACAACAAAATTAGTTCAAGCCATTATTACGTCAAGAAAGAAGAGCTAAATGACTGTGACTTTTACCAGGACCTCAAACAAAACCCAAACCCCATTTGATGCTACATCCAGACCTGTCGGTAATGCATTTTAAACTTTACCTGATTTAATAAATATTAGTTTAATCATTTGTTACTAGAAATATTATACATATAGTACATAGGGAAATATAATTATAATAGCATCTATGTTTAAAGCTTCAGATTGCATTCAATATATTCCTGTTCAATGATTTTTTCTCAATTTACACTAAAATCAGTTTACACTCCTAATCTTAAGGTTCTTAGAATCTGAACTATCATGACTTCAGAAGCTATGAGATCAGGGCTATCTGAATGTGTTTGGTTCCATCCATGGGTTCCAGATTTCAACATAATGCCCACCATTATTAATTGAAATTGAGATATAGACTTTTTTTTCATAGGTCTGTCTACTTTATCTCATTGTCTATAATGTGTTGAATGGATTTTAAAAAAATGTTATAACAACCACTAAACCTAGTCTGTGATTCTCCCAATTTTATGATCGTACCTGCAGAGAAAGCCATGAAGGCCTCGTTCTTTTTAAACTCTCCGTTTTCATCCAAGAAGCGATCAGGGTTGAAGGTGAATGGGTCAGGGAAATATTTTGGATCACGCAGGACAAACGTCAGTATTGGAAATACATCTGTACCCTGAGTTAAGAAAATAGAGGTTAAAAGCCTTCAGAGATATGATGAAAAGTATTTCGATATACCAATATACCACTAAGTGTCATATATACTGATATTCGGGATTTTTAGATCTCCCCTCCATTGATTTCTCATAGACAATCCAAACGGCATCATGCAGTATTTAGTTTATTTAAAGGACCACTATAGTGCCAGGAAAACATACTCGTTTTCCTGGCACTATAGTGCCCTGAGGGTGCCCCCACCCTCAGGGACCCCCTCCCGCCCGGCTCTGGAAAGGGGTAAAACTTACCTTTTCCCACCGCTGGGCGGAGAGCTCTCCTCCTCCGATCCTCCTCTTCTCCTCCCCGTCGGCTGTATGCGCACGCGCATTCAGCCAGTCACATAGGAAAGCATTCATAATGCTTTCCTATGGACGCTGGCGTGCTCTCACTGTGAAAATCACAGTGAGAAGCACGCAAGCGCCTCTAGCGGCTGTCAATGAGACAGCCACTAGAGGAAATAGGGGAAGGCTTAACCCATTCATAAACATAGCAATTTCTCTGAAACTGCTATGTTTATGAAAAAATGGGTTAACCCTAGCTGGACCTGGCACCCAGACCACTTCATTAAGCTGAAGTGGTCTGGGTGCCTAGAGTGGTCCTTTAAATTTAAAGAAAATTAAAACGTACAATGTCATGTTGCATTCTGGCAAACACAGGACACTGTGTATTTGCATGGAATTCTATGTCGGCGAAACCACTGTTATGGGCATATGCAAATATTACATTTTTTTAGAGCAAAACGTTGTATTTCTGAAACTGTGTACTTTGTCTTTAAGAGATTTTGCAAACTGACAAGTTGCTAGAAATGGAGCATTTTGTTTTTCATACAATGTTTCTTTAATAAATGATGTCTTACCCATATGCAGTGAATATGGTGTTCAGACTTTAGGATGCCATCTTGTCCTAGGTTAGTGTAATTCCCCAAGTCAGGGAATTTCTCATGTCGTGTGCACCCTTATGTTTTAGTCTAAACATAGATAAAATGTTCCCATGTGAAATGACCAAGTTATGGCCTTGTATCTTTGCCAAGTTAAGGTAGGTCCTAACATGACCTAATTGAAAATCTAGGGTATACATTTCTGAACTTATTAGGACACAGAGGAGAGAGTTTGGAGACAGAGATACTGTTCCATTTTATCACGACTGAGAGGTTGACTTGTTCAGGAGGGGATGTTATTCTATTTACTGATACTGCAAGCATATACCTTGATCTTATAAAGTCTGCTATGAATTATTGTAATGGATTATTAAGGTTTTATATGTCTATATTTGTATTTTTATTTAATAAAATATTTAAAAAGACAAAAATGTATTGCTTCCAAGACAATCCTTATTTTATATTGTATTTGCAATTATTTATATATTTTAAATAGAGGATCTCTTACTAACGATATAAAATTTATGGCTAAGATATCTGTATGGTTAGCCCTACTAAGTTCTATGCTTTAAAACGTTATAGTGGTAAATAGGGGAGCCAGCCGCTGTTACACCACAAAATAAAATAACTTTATATAAGAATATGCAATGACTTCCAAAGTGAGAGTTCCTCTGTATTAAAGTTTAATTTATTAATGAAACCCTAGTTTTCCTCCTTATGAATGATTTTGGCAGCAATTCCAAGTGATTTGTCCGTCTCCGAGATATTAAAGCTGTGCTGTCACATTGAGATCTTCTGTCAGATAAAATATATATGAAAAACTCTTAAACACTGCGTTGGGATGTCACTGACATGTCAATGCGATCAGACGCAGAGTCTAGTTTAAAAAACTGGAAATAATTTCAAACTGACTGTTTTGCCTCCTTTTGGATCAACACCTAGAAGGTCTGAGCTTTATGGATGTGAGTCTTTGTTTCAGCCTATGCAACTATGTAACTATGAAACACATCATTTTGGGAGAGCGCAACCAACATGGAATATATTTTTAATATTCTACCCTTCCATCTATATTTTATTTATTTATTTATAATTTATTTATAAAATATTTTACCAGGAAAGATACATTGAGATTTCTCTCGTTTTCAAGTATGTCCTGGGTCCACAAATCATTGCATTGTTACATTAGGTACAACAAAATACAAAAACAATATTAATACACAATATATACAAAATTTAACATAGAACAGGCAGGAAATATATAATCAACCATGACACATGCATTCTGTTTTGAGGTATGTAGAGAGGGATCTCTTAAATGACTTTAGGCTTAGGGAAGATTTTAAATTGTGCGGGAGGTCGTTCCACAATTGCGGCGCTCTGTAGGAGAAGGAGGATCGGGCCGCTTTCTTTTTGTATTGAGGTAGACTAAGTAAAGTGGTGGTACTGGATCGGAGCTTATAGAAAGTGGGAACAGCTAAGGAAAGCATTTTGTTCAGGTAGGGTGGGAGTTTCCCAGAGAAGCTCTTAAAAACAAGGCTGGAAAGATGAAGGGTGCGTCTGGATTCCAGCGACAGCCAGTTTAGTTCCTTTAGCATGTCACAATGATGGGTCCTGTAATTACATTGTAGCACAAATCGGCAGAACGAGTTATACAATGTGTTGAGTTTATTAATGTGGGATTGCGATGCAGACGCATATACTACATCCCCATAATCAATGATTGGCATCAGCATTTGCTGTACAATCTTTTCCTTTACTGTAGGGCTTAGGCAGGCTTTGTTTCTGTACAGGGCACCTAATTTTGGATAAAGTTTAGATGCAAGCTTTTCTATGTGCAGGCCAAAAGATAGATTGGGGTCTAATATCATACCCAAGTATTTGAAAGAGTGGACTGCGGTCAGTGTGCCATTTGAATTTGTTTTGATGGATAGGTGGGGATTTATTGCATCTGTGTATCATTTTGTAGCGTATTGTTTTGAGGAAGATTTGGAAGGAATCTTGTTGATATCACTATCATTAAGGAAAGAATAACAGTTACCGTTTTCCTTGTATTTTTCTCTCTGTGGTGTTCTGTGCAATATTATAATTACAAGGATAGACAGGTACCTTTTAATTAAAATGTATGTGTTGTAAGATTAATATAGCTAATTTAATCTGTGGATGTTCCCACATAGCAATACCTTGGGAATGGTGAAGCCACGAAATTGTGTGTCCTTTGCCACAGCACGAGGTAGGTTCATGGGTAGTACGTTGGCATAGCGCTGGATCTCATGTATGACCGCATCCGTGTACGGCATGGAAGGTCGGTCCTCTGGTTCCGGGGCTCGGTCTCGGCCAATGACAGAGTCAATCTCCTCTTGAACTTTTTCTATTGTGAGAAGAATTAGAGAAACGTTATGTGTGGTTCCAAGTTGTCTGATATGAGTTTCTGTAGAACTGTATAACAGACTATAAAAGGTCAGGCAATTTAACCACCAGTATTAATCTATAACTGTTCCTATGGCAACATCCCAGAAATAGTTTCCATTTCATTGCCATGTTTTCCATGTTACCAATGAAGCGTTAAATCGTGAAGTTTGCACTAAATTCACTACTTTAGTATCGCTGATACTTGTTACAGATTTGTTCAACAGAAAGGACAGAAAAGAGGTTTATAGATTTCAGAAAATAGCAAAAATAAAAATGATCCAGTTCTAGATGCATGCCACAGCCATTTTCTACTTATCCGAATGTGGTTAAAAAGTACTGAATACATTACCTTACTCTCTGCCTGCATTGACTTATTTGTGAACTTATCTGTTTTTTAAGTGACAGGAAAATCAAATAATTAGGCCCCCTTTAAGGAAAATAAAAATCTAATTTTCTTTAAACATATAAACTTAGTGACTGTGAAGACTTCTCTAAAAAAATTTCACTAAAATAAGAAATAAAGGGACATTATAGCCTTCGCAATCCAAACATACATTCCTAATGTTAGAATGTCCTTCACTGTTTTAGATTACTAGCCCTCAAGGTGAACTGAAAATGTAGATTACTTACATTTTCTCACTCGCCGCTGCCAGCTGCTCCGGCTCCTTGGCTGACGTCATAGGAAAACATTGGTAATGCTAGTGCGCATGCACAGAAAAACATCATGCTATGCCAAACATATGATTTCTAAATTGAAATATATTGAAATTTGATTAAAATAGCTGAGTTTGGCTCTGCTATTAGGGTAAAGTGCCGCTCACTGTATGTCAATAACATACAAGGTGAGAGCTTAATAACCACACACAATATAGACTATCACTTTCGGTTTGACTTTTGATGAATGTTTTCAGTTATAATCTGAAATAAAAATATAAACAGAGACCATAGTGTAGTATGTACAGTCCAAATGAATTGTGTAAAACCAAGTCGGTCTAACTCACATGTTGCTGAGCCTATCAATATAGCAGGCTCAGACTTTCAGCACATTAAAAAGGTATCACCCTCTGGATCTTTATTCCCCACAGGATTATCTCCAATACGGTCACCGCAGTAATATGGTTCCAAGCAGGTGAAGTTTAAAAATAAATTTATTAGGGAAACAATATTCCAAATAAGGGTTAAAAATATAAAAATGTATAATCACACACAGCAGCACTGATGCGTTTCAACCATTTAAAGGTCTTTCTCAAAGTGCATAACTCAGTCTGTGTATTTCTGCTTTTATTCTGTAATTTACACTGCTTTTAAAAAAAATTGCACACATTCTGGGACTTCCATGTTGCAATGTGGCCTTGTTCATTTTATTTTTAAACTTAACTTGCTTGGAACCATATTACTGCGGTGATCATATTGGAGATAATCTTGTGGGGAAAAAAGATCCAGAGGGTGATACCTGTTGAATATGTTGAAAGTCTCAGCCTGCTATATTGATAGGCTCAGCAACATGTGAGTTAGACTGATTTGGTTTTACAAAATTCATTTGGACTGTACATACTACGTTATGGTCTCTAGTTAGGGGTACCTTCTTTTGGGAGGAGTGTGTGTTCAAAAAAGGTGCTAAAGTCAAAATAAAAATGGTTGCAGCTCTAAACACTTGTGTGGAAATATCCTCTTCTCCACACCCAAAAAGTTGAAAAATATTTCAATATACCAATATACCACTAAGTGTCATATATACTGATATTAGGGATTTTTAGTTCTCCCCTCCATTGATTTATCATAGACAATCTAAACGGCATCATGCAGTATTTAGTTTATTTAAATTTAAAGAAAATTAAAACGTACAATGTCATGTTGCATTCTGGCAAACACAGGACACTGTGGATTTGCATGCAAACCTATGTCGGCGAAACCACTGTTGTGGGCATATGCAAATATTACATTATATACCGAAACTGTAATCCTTTATATTTTCCTTCATCTGTATTAAGTTGGTTATTGTCGCCTAAAGTTTACTTTGAATTACTGACGATTCACATTGTAGTGAATAATACCTTTGTGAGTTACACATTGCCCTAAATCTTACTTTTAATATGAGGAAATTTCAGGAAGAGCAGGAATGTGTGCCTTAAGGTGGTGCTCAGGGTCTCTGTTCCGGCGACAAACATGGTTGAAGTGTTTTTGAGTAAGTTTTCTGTGTTGTAATAAGTTGAAGGGTTGTTTTTTTCCTGCAAGGAGAAGACACCTAATCATATTAAATCCTACAACCATTGTAATCATCCATAATAAATACTTGATATTACATCCTTTTTGATACAACTTTTTATTTTTATGTTGGCAACACTTACCATGTTAAAGCTGAGAGGGAAAGCAGTCTTGTTTTGCCAGCAGATATATAACGTGATATAATGGTGTCCACACTATTGATTTGAGCTTCTGGTTAGTTGCAAATAAGCTCTGGGGTGTAATTACCAAATGTGGGCCTCAACTTCATACTTTTAAAATTATTTAATATTTTGATAAATCTCTTAATACTTAAATATTTAGATTTTTTTTAAACGTGTATATGATGGTTTGGTATATTTTTTTAATATTTTCATATTTTATAAAAAAAATTATAAAAAAATAATAATATATAATTTGAAAAGCTTATCCAAAATATTAAATTGAGGCCATAGTATCATTCAATTCAGTGTCCTAGGAATAATGAAGGGGTGACATGGCTTTAATAGGACTTAAATCTGAAACTTTGAGCTACAGCAAATAGACCGAAATCCAATAAGAAATCTCTATATGGTATTCAGGATAATGACTACTGTTCATTCCTCTGGCATTATGGGCAAATATAATATATTTTCCACAGGCATTATGGGTATTGACCATACCTCTTCCATTTTAATTAGGAAACTGTCCATCATGTGCCGAGGGCGGTTAGGATCCAGTGTTTTACGATCTCTCTCTAACCGTTCCAGAACAAACTCGTCTAACTTGAAGGCACATTTGGCAGCATAATGGTGGGGTCCCGGTAAGTATTTCATCACTACATTAAACATGTCAAAAAGCTGTGTGAAGATAAAAAACACTCACTTTACTACGAGATCAAATTTAACCATCATACATTATCTCCCATTTACACAACACTAAAACCATATAAAGCTGTTCTCAAAAATTTGCATACCCTTGGAGAATTGGTAACATATGTACCATTGTTTTAAAAAAAAAAACATCAGTGAGCAGGCAAAATACATTCATTTTATTTTGTATGGAATTCATATTGAACTGTAGGTTATAACAGAATGGCACAATCATAAAACAAAACATGTCAACAAAGAAAAAAATGGAAAGAGCCCTGTTCAAAAGTCTGCATACCCTTAGTTCCTAATACTGTGTATTGCCAACTTTAGCATCAATGACAGTGTGCAGTCTTTTGCAATAGTTGTCTATGAAGCCCCTAATTCTTGCAGGTGGTATAGCTGCCCATTCGTCTTGGCAAAATGCCTCCAGGTCACAAAGTCTTTGGTCGTCTTGCATGAACCGCACGTTTGAGATCTCCCCAGAGTGGCTCGATGACATTAAGGTCAGTAGACTGTGATGGACACTCCATAACCTTCACCTTTTTGCACTGTAACCACTGGAGGGTCAACTTGGCCTTGTGCTTAGGGTCATTGTCATGCCGGGAAGTCCAAGAGCGTCCCATCTGAAGCCTTCGTGCAGAAGAATGCAAATTGTCTGCCAGTGTTATCTGATAACATGCTGCATTAATCTTGCCATCAATTTTCACAAGATTCCCTGTGCCTCTAGAGCTCCCCCCCCCCAAGACAACAGTGAGCCACCACCATGCTTCACAGTGGGGATGGTATTCTTTTCATTATAGGCCTTGTTGACCCCTCTCCCAACAAAGTGCTTATGGTTGTGACCATAAAGATTTATTTTTGTCTTGTCACTCCAATTTACAGTGTGAAAGAAGCTGGGAGACGTGTCAAGGTGTTGTCGGGCATACTGTAACTGGGCCAAAGGTGTGGAAAATTAACCTTTAATTGCCATTTTATCCTGGGTGTGTCACCTTGTGTGTCTGTAACAATGCCAAACATTCAAGGGTATGTAAACCTTTGATCAGGGCCATTTAGGTGATTTCTGTTATCATTATGATTTAAAAAGGAACCAAACAAATATGTGATAGTAAATGGCTTTATATGATCACTATCCTTCAATAAAATATTTTTTTATTTCTTTTTTTTGCATGATCAGTCATATTTTCAAAATCAATGCCACAATTTCACAATTTCTGCCAGGGTATGCACACTTTTGACCACAACTGCAGTTCTGGGTTATTCACAAAAGCAGGATTTGTGCTACTTTTAAAAAAGAGAATCACACATTTTATTTTGACCTAAAATTTGCTATTACCTTCTCAATTTACCACAATCCACATTATGATTAACCCCATTTGTTTGCACTTTTTATGGTTTGTATTTTTTTTAAATATTAAATACCTCTCCCCTCTCCTGATTTTAACACTGCAGACATAGACAGTATTATGAAATGTCTCTAATCTTTCACCTCTAGTTCAATCTGTCCAGAGGCATGTTCCACTCTATATCTGGTATACACAGTGCCCTTTACCTGTCCCGAGGGTGAAGACATTCCTATAAATATTTCATCTATGATACGCATGAATCTTCGGAAATCAGGGTCAGTGTAGCTGAATCTGTTCCCAAATATGATGGAACATATGATATTAGATGCCACCTGGCTGAAGTAATATGTAGGGTCAATATGTTCTCCTGAAAGAAAGCAAAGGGGAGAGATAATTACTATTATTCAGGGTGATTAGAGAATATTGTCAGGACTGGCCATCTCAACTTCAATGGTTTATTTAACAAGTGCATTGTCCACTATGATCTTCAAGATCCATCACCAAGTGTCCACCTACGTGATCATCATACAAAGAAACTGAGTTATATATTGTTGCAGAGCTGCAATTTTATAATCCCAGGATCTCTGCTTGTTGAATGCAATAACCAAGTACAAAGCTGGAAGCAGGCAATATTCCCAAATCCTCCCAAGAACCAGACGAAACACAGTCTGAGAGTCAACTGCCACTTTATTCAAAAAGACTGATATTTAAAGCAGGTCACTCAACTGTCACTTTATTAAAAATAACTGATATTTAAAGCAGGTCACTCAACAGGGGTTTCCAAAGATGGGCAGCAGGGGTTTTGGTTGAGGGGACTGGAGGGAGACTACCGTTTCCAGGTCCTCCTCCCAACAGCCCCTGCTGTAACATACAGTAATGAAAACTACGAGGACATAAACCGTTACCTTTCTACTTCAAAATATACAACTTAGTCAGTTTTAATAGCAATGCTAACGAATGGGGAGGATTCGAACAGACATACACAGTACAGCATAAATTAAACATAGCCGGAGACGCCACACTATACCGGCGCGCAGTACACAACAGAAAATAGGCACAACCATTCTATCTTAGGCAGTCCCAAGTGGCTAGGTTTGCCACATATATGTCTTCTTTTGTCTTATATTGGTGTCTTTGTCATCCTAAGGAGTTCTACACAGATGTTTTTAACAATTTAGTTGATATATCCCCAGTGAAAACATGCATGCATATATTGCTGCATTTTGTCATTGAGGGTATATCCAGAAACAACAAAAGCCTGCAGCCTTTGCATGCTCTCCCAAAAATCTTCATTGAGAATCTCTGACATGCAGAAATCCACATCCTTGTATTTAGCTCTATCCTGGAACTGGGTATCTCCATCTTCGCTCCGTGTCAGTCATTGCGATAAACTCTGCACTGTGCACATGACAGGCATCGCCGCTGAGATCATAGAGAGAGAAGGATAAACAGACACAATGTTTCTGTCTCTCCCCCTCCAATGCAATGTGCCTTGCATGTGCCAGGACTGAGCTGGATCATGTCACAAAAGAACCCTACTACAAGTGCTGCAATTTCATACATATGTAACACTTCCTACTTATTATTATTATATTCATATAGCACCAACAAATTCCGTAGCGCTGTACAATGGGTGAACTAACAAACATGTAATTGTAGCTAGACGAGTTGGACACACAGGAACAGAGGGATTGAGGGCCCTGCTGTATGAGCTTACATGCTAAAGGGAGTGGGGTAAAGTAATACAAAAGGTAAGGGAAGTATTAGGGAAGTAGATTCATAGATTAGTATTTAATGAAGACTTAGTGTGGTTTTTATTTGGTGCCATTAACCGTTTGATTGATACCTTTTTGTAAAAAAGTGAGTTTTCAATGAATTTTTGAAGGAGTGGAGACTGGGTGAGCGTCTAACCGAAAAGGGAAATGAGTTTCACAGGAACCGTGCAGACCTAGAGAAGTCTTGAAGGCAACATCAGAGGTGGGAGTACGAACAAAGGATAGACTTGTGACCTAATACAATAGACTTTACAGTTCATCCCAACTGGTTTCAGCTGCGCTAGTCATATTTATATTCTTTCTATAGGTTGTGCTCTAAATATGCACAAAAGGAGGCATAATTATTTATCTGTGGGTTATTATCAATGTTTATTTTGGATATGACTCTGACAGACAATGGTTTTTCTGAATGGCCATTAGCATCTCAAAGGAATCCACTATCTATGAGGGGATGGAGGCATATGGTAGACTACATCGAAGCTAGACTTAGAGGCAAGTCATGCACAACATTTCATAGCTTGTAGAGGCACTGGTTGACATCACAGCTTCAAGAGAGCATGTTTTAACCTCCTGACATCTATTACATTATAATTTAACCCCTCTTCCCTTGTGTTATATCGGCAGCTCTTCATGTTGGGAGTTGCAAAGTCACTTATTCATAATTTGTGCTCTGATTCTGGTTTTCAAAAGATCCTCAAAAAATCCCCATATAATAGGACAGAGGGAGCCCGCATACCCCACAAGTTACCTTTACTATTGCTTTAAAATTAGTATTTACCATTCTTTCTTTTAAATTCTTCTACCAGACATAGCGCTTCTTCTTTAATTCTCTCTTCAATGGATCGTTTTCCCATTCCAAAACTTCTCAAAGTCATGACGGTAAAGCGTCGGAGCTCTTTCCATTGGTCCCCATTACTGAAAATAACACCTGCGAGACATAATAAGCATTCAGTATGTACGTAGAGAACAGACCCAGACCTTGACCTTCTTATTAAAGTCTATGTTGGGCTTTTTATTCTAAAAGTCTCAGAATGGGACATGTTTTATCACCCCCTTCTTAATCTGAAGAAAGTGAGATATAATCAACACATGATGGGCTACACCAGAGCAAGACCAATAGGGTCATTGTTGAGTATAAGTAGTAGGATTTTTTTGTCTTATTTTCTTATATGTGTGTGTGAGTGTCAAAAAGGTTGTTGTAACACCAAACACAATAATTTACTGTTGAGCATAACCTGCATATCTCAAGTTCTCAAGTTGGACTTTGGAAAGTCCCTTAAAGGAAATCCTATTTTCACAACTATCCCAGAGTTCCCAGCTTGAAATGCAAACGAGTACAGACAGGCATTGTATTTCAGACTTCTCCCTGCATTTAAGCAGGTACACTTAGAAATTAACATTAAACAGATTAAAAGCACAGTTTGGGTTATGATCCAAAAGGATCCGTAACCAGAAACCAGCCATGGACTGTACAGATACAATCTTGTGGGTCTCATCAGCGTGGCATGATTCTTGTCTGGAAATTGAAGTCTGCCTGAGAGCGTAGAGAAAGAAGGACGAGGGTAGTTGGGAGTGCGGACTCTGAACACGGTACATTGCAAGGATTCCTTGCATTCTCTCGTAATTGAAGTGTTTGGTATCCCTAGGATAATCAATCTTCCCAAGAAACTCCTCTCTTATCTTATGTTTATATTTTCACTATGGGTTTTCTGTTATGTCAATTTATATTAAACAAAGAGATTTATTGTGCAACGTAATTAAAAATCTTACGGTTTTCTGCTCTATTGCCATTGTTTTATTTTGATACCATAATAGTATTAGGATAATAGTAATAATTTATTTTTGTTGTGCAGAGAGTAACATAGAGGCAGAGACAAAATGTGTCAGCAAAGTCAGAGAAGACATACAAAATTACTGATGTGAAACATGACATGGTTAGAAAGCTGCACTTTTAGAAACTAAAATTATTATTTTATTATCTTTTAATTTTTTTAAATTATCTTTGATTGACGAAACGCGCGTCGGGACAGTTGTGCTTGTGTTCGGCTTTGAGATAAGGGACAATGCTGCAGCAACATATGATTTATTAGACAGCTACCACGTAGCGATTATCTAACAGTGACTCTATTGGTTTTATCTCCTCTTTCCATTTTTTTCTATTTATTAATTAGGTAGCAGTTAAAGGGGTGTGTGGGTAACTGATCTACAGATATTCTCCTCTATTTAGAAGGGAAGGGGGGTTCAGATTGTTCAAGGGATGCCAACAAAGGCATATTAGGAGCAATTTATAGTTCCCCCCTCTCTATTTTTCTTTCCACTACTTTTACCGTAGTATCTCTGATACTTGTTAGGCTGTTATCTATTTCACTATGTTATTCCTCTGCTCCATTTAGCTCTAATAGCGGTTACTATTGTTTCTTTATTTATAATAGGATATATTCTACACTACAGCCTACAACGTAAATCTGTTTCTATTGGAAAAGATGTAGACTCTGTAACTAGATGGTATATCCTTTTCTTTTCTTACTACCCCTTTTTTTGTTTTCTTCAATTATATAACGATTTTTTTGTATATTTTGCTGTAATGTTTTTATATTGAGTCTATTAAAAGTTATGTTTTATTCACTTATGGGTTGCTCGTATTTATGAAGGGTTCGGTTTGATGGTTTATTATTGCTCGGATTTATGAAGTGTTCAACTTACCCTTTTTTTTCCGCTAAGTTCCTTAAAATTATTAATAAAAATATAAAATCACAGTTCATGCGAGGAAAACATTAGAGAAGTAAAAGGAGAAAATGTATGCACCAGGATGGGCTAACAGTGAAAATACCTCCAGGAGTAATCTTCTGCAGTTTTCTGTTGCCTATACATATCTATTCGTGAGATATTTTGTATTCATTTTACTTATTTCCTCTAAGATTTAGATATATATGTTTCCAACCGTTAATAAAAATACTACAGATGGAGCAATTTGACAACATGACATGAGGCTTCATATTTTGCATGTCTTTCTTTACTTAACTCCAAAGTAGCAAAGACACATATAGAAAAAAACAAGAACCAATCAGAAACAAGTAATGTATATATGAGGCACAGTGAACCCAAGCTCTTCCCCTTTTTTTGCTGCTCCATCACACTGACAGCTCAGAGTTTCTACTCTCTTCACTGTCTCCCTATATTGTATTATCGTGTAGGTTTGCTGGATTGTGACTGCTGTTTTGTCTGATCTGTTTGTGTCCCCTGTTTTACATTTCTCTCTGACAGGCTCTACCTGCACACTTGGCCTTATTTTTCCCTTTCCAGTGGAATAGACAGAGGTTGTGGCACATGTGGGCATGCTCACGCAACATTCTCCTCTGGTAATTGACCCCTTTGTTCCTGTAACCTCTACTGTTCCGACCGCTGGCCGTCTTACTAGTTTTCAAGAATTAGGAAGACCTATCCTCGGATATGTGGGTATTACAGACTGTGCTGGGATACGTGATCAAATTTGAGGAGGTCCTTGTCCAATGGCAGCCCAAACCTATCAGTTTTCAAGTAAGCTGACACCTGCCTTATCGATCAGGAGATTCAGGAATTGCAGCTAAAGGGTGCCATGCAACTGGCGTCAGAGGCTTCTTTAGCAATATTTTCTTGGTCCAGAAGAAAATGTGAGATTTTCGACCAGTGATAAATCTGTGGGACCTTAACAATCGCATAATTTACATTCACTTCAAGATGGAGGGTATACACTTATTGCAGGATCTGCTCTGAAAGGTGACTGGTTTACACTCCTGGACACAAAGGATGCATACCTCTCTGTCCCTGTTCATGCCAACAGCCCTCTATTCCTTCACAATCGGTTTGGCCCTTTGGTGCTTCACAAAGAACCTGAAGCTGGTGGTTGCCCATCTTCAAGCCCAAGGGGTCAGCTGCATAATTTGTCTGGAGGTCAAGACTGAGGGACCATACCCATTATACTGTAAATTTACTTGAATCTCTATGGTTTGTAGTTAATCGGTCCAAATCTGTGCTGGTTCCCTCACAGACAGTTCTGTTCCTGGGTTTCAAGACAATTTCAACGTTGTGTCCTCTGAGACTACATACCTCGAAGGTCTTGTCTATTTGCAGGTTTCTCCATCATGACTCCATCATGCTCTGCATGCTCGCACGGATCATGGGACTGATATCTTTCTCATTTCAGATGATCGTCATGGGTCCACTGCACTACTGGGCTATGCAGTGACTGAAGGCCAAGTTCCTTCCAAAGAATCCCACTTATGACTAACCGGTCCTGGTGATGAATGAGGTATGGATTTAACTGTAGTGGTGACTGGAGCATTCGAAGCCTGGAGCAGCCGGGTCATTTTTGACAATCACCCAGACTTCGTACTGGAGTCGGGTGCCAACCTTTGGAGCTGGGGAATAACTGATGGCGGTCTGTCCACACTAGGAGTGTGGATGGCTCAAGAGCTCTCTATGCAAATCAAGTGCTTCATACAACTTGCGGGTTAATTCACCATCCGCAGTTTGGTTAAGGGGAGGTACAACTGTTGCATTCTGCTCTGCATGGATAATGTATCTGCAGTGTGTTATATCAATCACCTTGAGGGTGCTCGTTCCCATGTTCAGTTGGATCTCATAAAGGAGATTTTGATATTTGCCTTCCCCACAAAATATTGTTGAGGGTGGAATATCTGCCGGGGAGACCAACCTCAATGTATTTCAGTTCCTGTTTGATTGGAATCCTCATTCTGCGGGATGCTGATTTTAGAAGTTCATGTTTTTCTGTTTGCTCAATGTTTTCTCTGCTTTGCCTGTGATGTCACATTCTGATTTGAATTCCTGTCCATGATATATTAGACTGTTTGCCTTAAACATTGCACTATCACAGCCTGCACTACTGGAGTGCAGCTGGTAACAAGACAATGTGTATCAAAGTGCATCCGATTGTTGTGGGTTACTAGAGAAAAGGCTCTCACAGATTTATGGAAGGACATTTTTCTGTTTATACATATGCAATACATGATGTTACACTATTTTATTATATTTTTGCTTTTGTTTTTTAGAATATATTTAATACCCTTGTTCAAGATATGAGTTGGAAGGGTGTGCATTGGAAATGTGGATATGGAGTCAAGAAGAACTGGCTTTGACTTGAGAAGATATAGAAATCCAATACCCAGGGAGAAGATGGTTCATTAGCATGAAAAGATCCTGGACCCAAGAAGACAGACCACAGGAAGAAATGGGGAAGTGAACCTGTGAAAAGGTAGGAATATAGAATGAAGAAGAAAATAATTCCTGGAAAGTCCTGCATTCATGCTGAAATCATTATTGAAATATGTGGCTTGTGAGTGTTGGAAGTGTATAAAAACTAGTGAGACTTATGTGCATTATATAAATGGAGGATTTACTTACCTTGCCTCCGAGTATATAAATCTATGACTGGCAACTGGCCTCTGAACCCAAATTCTTCTCCATTGTCCACCAGGGCTTCCTTGACAGCATCGTACCCACATAGCACCACCACTCTTCGGGGCCCGAGATACAGAGTGTACACATCTCCGTACTTCTTGTGCATCTGTCAATCATGTGACATGTTAGAAAATGAATACAAAAATGATGATGGGGCTATTTCACCCATAGTACACTGCAGGAAGTAAAGTCAATCTATCACATTGACACTCGGATAAGTATCAAATTGTGTTTAATTATTCAGTAAACTGAGAATTGTAGAGAACTGGCAAGGAAATATTAACATTTAAGTCAAACTGGAGACATTCTAAAATGAAAAAAAAATGCCTTTGCTTTTTAGGCGTAAACTTGTGATTGCCATTTCCATTTCAGTTAAATGAGTAAGCTAAAAAGTATTAATTCCACTGTGAAATAAAATATCTTAGAAGACTATTCAATAAAGAACTAGTTATAGAACCAACTTGGAAAATAACCAAAATTAAAATGTTCCAAAAGAAAATCACTATTTGACTGAATTAAAGATTTTTTCCAACTCAAATATTCCAGCCTAAATTTCACAGTCAAGAAAGAGGATGAAACATTTGGGTCCTCTATGCAAAATTGTGTAATCCTTCAAGTTTCAAATTCCTGCATCTGAGTAAAGTCTTGCTCAGAAAGATTACAAAGATAAGATTGATAAAAGTACAAAGAGGATAGATGAGGCTTTGTCTGACAGTAGGCTGTATTGACATTCACTTAGACCTGAGCACGTGTTGACTGCAAGATTAATAGGTAACAATTAACAACACCCCAAATAATAGCATAATTACTATGTATCGCAACTCAGCTTGACTGAAAAACAGTGCAGCACATGTCTGTTATAATGACTGACTTTGTTGGAACCTCCCTTTCTAAATCAAAGTGACAGGTAAGAAGACATATAATCCCAGATTACTTTTTTCAGTATCCCATAAAAGGGATGGGTGAGTGTATGCCCTCCCTTAATACGGTCATCGATGTTTAAAGCCAAGTCCTATGATTATTCCCAGTTATGATCATGAATTTAAGGGTAGATTCAATTTTATTTTCCACCCAAACAATAGGTATTGCTTGTGTTTCTAGGAAGGAATTCACACAGAAGGCACATCGATCAGAAAACTCACAATTCATCTTGACTCTCATCGAGTAATCCATGACAATGACACAGAGTGAGCTAATATGTGTTTTATTTTTTGCATCTCCTCCTCCACTCAGAAATGGTTTGACAAAAAATGAGGGAGGAAAAAAAGATGATTTGTACTATAAACAATACAATAAGATTCGGCTTAGAGTTCCCCGTTAGCACTCAAGTGCAAGTAAGTGACCAAATCTTGTGCAAGTTGTCCCCAGCATTTAAATGTTATTAAAGGACCACTATAGTGCCAGGAAAACATACTCGCTCTGGAAAGGGGAAAGGGGTAAACACTTACCTTTTTCCAGCGCTGGGCGGAGAGCTCTCCTCCTTCTCTCCTCCTCTGTTCCTCCCCGTCGGCTGAATGCGCACGCGCGGCAAGAGCTGCGTGCGCATTCAGCCGGTCACATAGGAAAGCATTCATAATGCTTTCCTATGGACACTGGCGTGCTCTCACTGTGAAAATCACAGTGAGAAGCACGCAAGCGCCTCTAGTGGCTGTCAATGAGACAGCCGCTAGAGGAAATGGGGGAAGGCTTAACTCTCTGAAACTGCTATGTTTATAAAAAAATGGGTTAGCCCTAGAAGGACCTGGCACCCAGACCACTCCATTAAGCTGAAGTGGTCTGGGTGCCTAGAATGGTCCTTTAAGTCTACACTACATTATTTCATTTTCTCTGTCTATATGCATGCACTGAATTAAGTCTCCAATCAGTTTAAGGAAATCATTATGAAAATAGCTGTTTGTTGGGAGGTACGCGTGTAATACTGATACAAGGTGTTTATGTTTAAATGAGATTTTGTTTTAAAGATTCTCTACCATGTGAGCATGCAATCCATCAAGTTTATGATACACAGCAATATTATTTTTATGCCTTCTTTCTTTTCACATGCTAATTTAATAATAATTTATTTATGTTTTGAAAGGAAATATAATTTTTTTTTAAATAAAGTATGTGTAAAATAATGAGAAAAACTAATTCCCACCTTTAGTATATAAAAGGATTCGTCAGTCATATAAATGTATCTTGGGTCAGACAGTGTTTGAGAACTGATAGTCTGACCTTCAATGCTTCTGTGCAGAGAGTGAAGCAAGGAACATCATAGGAAATAGCTGTCTATTTTCAGTAGTCATGTGAAGATCTTGATATTGCTGTTAATTAAGGAGAATATAATAATAATCATAACAAAAGTAGGAGAGATCACCAAAGAGTATGCAATAACTAGTAAGGCAGGTTTGATGACAAGTGGCCATAAGACAATGCAGGTAAGTAGAGTTAGGTAACCCGTCCCATGGGGTGATGATATCCAGTACCCATCCAATCTTACAACAGGAGCTAGTATTGGATAAGTCATGAAATATGTTCAAGAGATCTGTTAATCCATCTTCATAAACGGACAAGCTACATACGGTAAAACAGATATTGTGGAACTAGAATTCCAGACCAAGGATGATGAACAGAGTAAAAAGGATGATCTACCATGGTTTTGGGTATCATTATTTGGATCTCAATCTTCATATCTGGGGCCCAACACTCAAGAATCAACTCTTCTCTCATAAGAAATAGTTTGTCAGTGCTGATGTTGTGGTAGTTGAAGACCAAATATGGTGGTACTGTATCTTAGTCCTGCTCTGGGTCTGCCCTTATGACTAAGTGTCCTATATGCTCCGTCTAAATTGATAGGACTGTCTTCAGGGCAATTTGCGCAAGTAACGGTGCAGCAGTCTGAGTTGCAAGATACAACTGTTAATCTGCCATGCCATATTATTATTATTATAATTATTATTTAGAAAGCTCCAACAAATTCCACAGTGCTGTACAATAGGCAGACTAACAGACATGTGTTTGCAGGAAGACGAGTTGGAGGTGCAGGAACAGATGGTTTTGAGGGACCCTTAACATTAGAAATTATCACCTGATTCACCTCTTCTGGTTTTTCCAAGTCGTGAACACGTGAGCGTATACTCAAGCTCAGTGCTGACAATCTAATCTGAAGGTAAGCATCTAGCTGGTCTGCCAGATAGGCACACCACCCATCGCTTGAAGTATTGCTCCCTGTTGTGTAGATGCCTTCTGACTTCTTCATTCTATCCGTCTGTGTTAGAGTTTCCATATATAGGTTGATTCAAGCTAAATTAGTTTTTGTCTGTTCTCTGTAATTTCTTACACTCTGTTTTAGTTTTACATGACAAACTCCAGGTGTTTGAAATGCAATTTTGGCCCTGTTTCCTGGCCCTACTACAGAGAGAGGTTGGCAGCCATACTGATTCATCTAGAAAGTTCAGTATTTCTTGGCACCATCATACTCACCCGGCCTATGGTTTGCCAAGCCATGTGACATCTCCTAGTCTCAGACTTGTTAACAGATTGAAAGCATCCGCTCTGTGGTAATCAGGCGTAGCCTAATGTAAAAATGGCTACATTGACAGAAGATTGTTTTAAAAAAAAAATCTAAATCAAAAGGAAACGGAAAAAAATAAATCAAAAATAATACAAAACAAGACAACAAAAAATATAACATATCCTTGTTCATTAAAAGCAAAATAATGCTGTTAGTGTGTGGTGAAAACTGATTTCTAGGAATAACGCTTACCCTATAAGGTTTTATTTAATCTGAACTCACATTCTGCTTATTGATGATGATGATGATGATGATGATGATGGGTATATGGTGGCTTACACCGCATGTTGATAATTCATCTATGAACTCTACAGAGAATGCTGCCATTTCTTGGAGCCTATGAGGAAATGTCTTCAGGTGGACAGGTTCTCATCAAGTTATTGTCACCTGATTACATGGTTTCTTATACTAATACTTTCTCTTCTGACAAGTCTTTTGATCTTTAAAGATGTAAAACTGCCATGAACATCACATTTTCCCTTCTATGGAGCTTGTATTTGGTGTAGAGGGAAGCCAGGGATACTTTTTGAAATAACTTCTTCAGACGTGACATTTTGGGTTATTTTAGATAACTACTATAGATTACTTGGTTATCATACATTAAAGGAACACTATAGACACTCATACCACATCATCTTAATGAAGTGATCTGGTGCCATGTAGCCCCCATTTCAACTCTGCACCTAAAACCATTGATATCTGTCATACTGACTGCCCCTAGAGGCTCTTCTGTGAAACGGTGAAATAAAACATCTCTGTTTTAGTCTGATGGTCTCAGAATGATGATCTGATGGGAACAGCATGGCGTTTTGCTGCACATATGCACTAGACTCCCAAAGCTTGACTGTGGGAGGGTATTGGATTGGCTGAGAACATCTATACTGATGATCTTAGCCAAATAGGCAGAGCTGCATGCTAGAGACCAGCGCTGAAAGGGAGAAAAGGTAAGTAAAATTCACCTTTTATGCAGCAGTTATCTAAATGGTGACTAGGGCACTACAGTGTTAGGACTACACATGTGTTTTCCTAACGCTATAGTGTTCCTTTAAGGCAGCTAATATATAGTGAGTGAGTTTAAGTAAAATCATCAGGTATACATGTGAGAATTAGAGATAAACAAGGTTATTCACTAGTGCAAAGAGGTGAGAATTTAAAGTAAATTTCAAATTTAAGGTCAAAATTGTCAAACTGGAAAACATTTTCTTAATCACCTAATGCTTTAAGTGAATTCTCACTTTAGTTAATAACTCTGTAACTCTGTTACAGATTCCTGTCGTTGCTGCCCCTTCAAGTCTTTACCTTGTCTTATGATATATTTTAACTGAGTTAAATCATATAGTTCTAAATTAAAAGTGTTTAAAGCTGCTATAGCAATTTTGTTTAAAATCAAATTCTGGAATGCCTGCCTAAAACTGAAATAGCAGAGTAAATTTTCCCCTCCCTGACTGTTGGAATGGTATGACCCAATGAAACTTCCTTTAGTCTTTGAAAGCTGGGGGTGAACTGACATTTTCAGCAGACTTGCAGCCATTAGACCTGTGGCTTATAACAGTGAAATATATTCCTTTACCATTATGTTCACTCGATTCTGGAAGTGAAGTACTTAATATGAACAACACAATAAAAATCAATCCTGAAGAAAGTCCTATATAGAGGACTGAAACGTTGATCATGATTTTTAATATGAATAAAGATTGGAACTTTTAAACTCCATGAGTGCTGCTACCTCTTTGGATATCTGGATAACCAAGCCCTGGCTTAGCACCCGGCAAACAAGGGACATTTACAGCGTGAGTGCAAGAGATTTTTCTTTTTTCTCTCTCTCTATATGTATAGTGTAGATTGGATTTGCCGTATTAGTCTAGTAGACAAGATGTCAAAATCCCAGTTTGCAATATTACCTTTTTTTTATGGACTAGCATAATATTTCAAAGACAAGCTTTCAATAGTTTTCCTCTCTTTCTCAGGTCTGAAGCAATACTGATCACTGGAATGGTTAAAGCTTGTTCCTCCCAGGATTGTCTGACATATCTCCAGCCATATGGTCAGATGCGGCGTCTACTACGGGTTTCGCAGCAATCGTTGGGAACGAATGGCTTTTTTGGTAAGTGGCCTTCTCAACTGATGTTAGAGAAGGGGAGGAAGGAGGGGTGAGTGGGGTGTCATAAATAGCAGAAGATGTGCCTTATGTTACTCCAATAAAAAAGGTATCATTACATACTGCAATTCTCTGCTATTTTGGCATTATATATATACAGGGGGTCCTCGTTTAACGACCTACCTGCTTTTACCTGCTTTACGCAGTTATGACCAGCTCAAATTTCCCCGAACATAGATTAGATGGATTCGCTGCTCTGTTGCGTTGTCTATGTTCAGGGACATTTCACCAAACATAGAAGAATGTAGCAGAGCAGGGAATCCCTTAACTGATCACTTACCGACCAATTCATTCTACGACCGGATCGTAGAAACGGAACCCGGTCGGTAAGTGAGGAGTGTCTGAATATATATGTAAAATAGATTTTCTCACCTCTCCGGGGTGGTATAGTTATTCCTCTTTATCGGGTCCTCTACCAAGGACCTTAGAGTTTGAGGGTTCTGTGCAGTATCTTAGCTGTTCCTAGAACAACACTCTTCTGGACAACGATCTTAGATGTACCATCTCGAATCTGTCTAAGCAACTCCCCAAACTTAGGGGTCACAGCCCCGCGTGTGAGAACCTAGACCTACTTGAATGTATTATATTTTATATATTATATTTATTTTCACAGAGATATTTCCAATGCAAAAATGATCCTACAGAATTTAACTTCATCTTGCCATTTGTAATTCATAGAGAATTATACAGCTTCTTACAGCTGCAGCAAGGAGTCAGGGAGTGAGGACAGAGTGGGAGTATGGGTCAATCTGACGAAAGAGGGGTATGTCAAGAGAGTGTGGCTACAAAGAGAGTGCTTATAGTCATGGAGCATAAGGAGTGATGGCACTAAATACCGAAGTCAGGGGGTCATGGACATAACAGAGTGAAAAGGTCAAAAACAACAGGTCAGGGGTCATGAAAAGAATGGAGTGAAAAGGTCAAAAGACAGAGATGCAGGAGAGAATGGCTCAAAAACAGGTCAAGGGTCATTGAGAGAATGGAGTGAAACGGTCAAAGACAGAAGTAAAAGGTCAGTGAAAGTTTGGAGGGCAGAGAAAACATGTACATGTATTGAGAGAGAACAGAAAGATTATTGGAGTTTAAGATGAAGACAGGGAGAAGATCAGGATCTGTTGGGGAGAGAATATGTAAAATCTGATTTCTTTTCCTGTTTTTTTCAGCCATCTCATGCCCTGTTGAGCCAATATTTTTTTATTTTGTATCTATGTTGTTCTTACTTCAACCAACATAACTCTTAGAATGCATTTGGTTAAATAAGAAAAAGCATTTTTAGTGATCAATAGAGTGGTGTGTCAGTCTGGCAAACTCTCCTGTAGGGAGCTCCCACCCTACCTGAGAAAAATGCTCTCGTCAGCTGTTCCCACCTACTATAACCTCTGAACCTCTGATCCAGTACTAGCATGATATTTAGCATACGCAATACAAAAATAAAATGGCTCGATCCTCATTTTCCTACAGAGCACCGCAATTATGGAGTAACCTCATGGACACAGTCAAATCTTCACTCAACCTACAATCCTTTAAGAGATCTATGGCAATATACCTCAGCACAAAATGTACCTGTCATTGTTGACTATATTTATTACATGTTATGTGCTAAATTTATATAGGTGTGTATGCATATAAGTATAGTATATTGTAGTATTTTTTTTTGTAATATTATATTGTACCCTCTTGTAACAATGCAGTGTTTGTGGGCCCAGGACATACTTGAAAATGAGATAAATCTCAATGTATCCTTCCTGGTTAAATATTTTATAAATAAATAAATAATATAAAGATTATATGTGAATCACCACTGGCATTGTTCCCGTTACATTGCAATCCATCTACCAACCTGTGACAGACAATCCACCAGCTGCCCCGTTTTCAACTGGAGAAGGTTCCCGAGAAAGGGCAGTGGGGTTGGTCCAGGGGGCAGGTTTTGTTCCCTGTACATGCTGTTCCAGGTGTAGAAACACAGGATGCAGGAGACCAGGAATATGAGGAGAAGAGTCACTGTGTCCATGTTGGCGGTCTCTGGATGAGTTCTGCTGACAGTACCAGGGATGTCTGTTGTTAAGAGAGTGGTGCAATCCAGTAAATTCTGAGCAAATGTTTATAGAAGGTGTGGGTAAATAATAACTAATTTCACTTATTTGCTCCTCTGAGAGCTGTAGTTATCGAGTGGTAAATTAATGACTAGATTTATGGAAGTTCTGCTGTAAACAGATGACAGAGATACCTGTTCAATGTCCAAACCAGTGATGGGTAACATACAGACTTCAGATATTTTAATACTACAATTCCCACAGTGCTCTGTCAGTCTAGTATAATATAACCAATTTTGGCAATACTTGTTTTTACATATCAAAGTTTTATTTAATTGCACTTCTTGACCTTATTATATTAATTCATGTTACAATGTCAGCAAACTAAATCTAATTTCTCTCAGACTACTTGAGAAACGCCTTCATATTGAAGAAACCCTCAATGCATTTAAGCATTGGTTGCTTGTGGTAGACAAAATGTTCAGGTCATTAAAAATGCAACTAGATGTTTTTGTATAGTTTAATACGTAGCTGTTCCTGAGATCCAGGTTAAACTTTTCATCACGGAAGTTACACAAGTGGCAGCATCCAAAAGTCTTCTTCTCTGAGGAGGAGTTTATTGATACTCATCGTGATAGCTTATGAATTAGCAGTCAGGACAGAAAGTCACCAGTTAACGCTACAATATCCTGCAGAGAACTGAGGAAAATGCTGCTTCTTCATTTTCCTTTTGTTGTATGTGAAGCTATTTAGAGCATCTAACTGGATTGGGGTCTTATTGCCATCAGCATCGAGGAGCTTGCGTTGAGATTTCTCTGTTCCTTTAGTTTTTTCCTGTGACATTGAACGTTTGAGATTGGAGTATAGCATTACATTTGGTAGTTTAGCTTTCCAATCATTGCATGCCATAATGTTTTGCTTACATCATATAATGTATATTGTAAAGGGAATAAAAATAATTAATTTGTAATTTAAAGGATTAATCCAAGTACCATGACCACTTCAGAGATTTGAAGTAGTAATTGTGCTTGGAACGAGAGTTCTGGGCTGGCTAATATAAATTCTATTAATATTCCTTGTAAAAATGGCAATTCATTGGCTGAGAGCGGTTAGCTGATGCTCTCAACTGAATGACTGGTGGAGTCAGCATCTGGCTTCCAGCATTAGAGAAGACTCCAAACCTCATGGATCAAAGGTAAGGAGACAAACTTTTCCCAAAAACATTACTGGAGAAAAATGCCAGCAAACCCCGAGCATCATAATCACTAGATGTTTGCATTCGGATTTGGCAGAATTGCGATTTTTTTTTAACAAATATTGGCTGATATGCTGGTTGGCTGAATTACATCTCTCCAAAGTCCCATTAGAGCCTTTGGAGGCTGTACTGCTAAATATTTACATATCATTTTTATAATACATAGTTATATGGTGAAAAATGACATGCATCTATCATGTTAAGCCTTTCTCACATTTTTTGTTGTGGATCGAAAAGAAGGAAAAATACGCAGTTTGAAGTTTCCAATTTTCAAACAAACAAGGATAAAAATTCATTTTTGAACCCAGAAGGGCAGTCAGATATCTCCTTGGATCAATGATATATTACCATACTAATTAAAAAAAGTATATCCCTGGATATTATGGTTTTGGAAGTATTTATCCAATTGTTGCTCAAACATCTGTACAAACTCTGATAAAAGCACCACTTCAGGCAGAGAATTCCCCATCCGTATAGCTCTTACTGTACAAAACACTTTCCTTTGTCTTAGACTGAATCTCCTTTTTCCAGTCTAAACTCATGGCCTCGTGTCCTATGTAAAGTCTGGTTTGTGAATAGATTTCCATACAATGGTTTGTATTGGCCCCGGATATATTTGTATAACGTTGTCACATCCCCTTTGAGGCGAAATTTTTGTAATCTAAATTTAGATGTGTTAACCTCTCTTCATAACTAATATTTTTCATTCCTTTTAATAATTTTGTAGCTCGTCTCTGCACTTTTTCTAGTGCCATGATATCCTTCTTTAGAACAGGTGACCTAAATTGCACAGCATATTCAAGGTGTGGTCTTACCAGTGATTTATAAAGAGGCAAAATTATATTTTCATCCCGAGAATTTATGCCCCTCTTTGTACATGACAATACCTTAGTGGCCTTAGCAATTGCACATTGTTGCCTAGTTTGTTGTCTAAAACAGTTCCCAAATCCTTCTCATGTGTTGTTATTCCTAATTCACTACCATTTAGGGTGTAAATTGCTTGTGCATACGTTACCCCGAAGTGCATAACTGCATTTTTTCCTACATTAAATTTAATCTGTCATTTTAGTGCCCAGTATATCTAAATCCTTCTGCAGCAAAGTAATTACTTACTTACATTTTACTATTTTACAGAGTTTTGTGTCATCTGCAAACACTAAAACATGGCTTTCAATGCCTATTTCAAGATCATTTATAAACATGTTAAATAGAAGTGGTCCCAAAACATAACTCTGAGGGACACCACTTACCACTTTTGTTAAGCTTGAAAATGTACCATTAATAACAACTCTACCTTTAAGCCAATGTTCTACCCAAGAACAAGAATTTTCGTCAAGACCAGGTGTCCTCAAACTCCGGCCCCCCAGATGTTGCTGAACTACAACTCCCATGATTCTTTGAATTACATAGAGAGCCAGAGAATCATGGGAGTTGTAGTTTAGCGACATCTGGGGGGCCAGAGTTTGAGGACCTCTGGTCTAGACCAATTTAGTTTGGACATTAATCTATTGTGAGGAACCATATCAAATGCCTTGGCAAAATTTAATTAGATCACATCCACTGCAACACCCTGATCTATACTTTTACTTAGTTCTTCGTAGAATGCAATTAGGTTAGTCTGACATGATCAATGTTTAAAAAAAAACTATACAGATTATTGCTAATAACAATGTTCTTCCTAATGAATTCCTGAATATTATCTCTTAATAACCCTTCAAATACTTTTCCAGCTGCAGAAGTTAAGCTTACAGGTCTATAATTTCCAGGCAAGGATTTTGAACCCTTTTTGACTATAGAAACCACCTCTGCCTTCCTCAAATGCTCCAGTACATTTATTTCTACATTTAGCTTCTTAAGTACTTGTGAGTGAATACCATCAGGACCCCAAGCTTTGTTTATATTATCTTTCTTTAGCTGCTGTAGCACCTTGTCTTGAGTCATCATATCACAATTTTTCTGCAAGTTTTTTTGCAGCAATCATTTGCATATCTATTCAGAAAGGATCCTCCTTAGTATATACTGGAGGAAAAAGGTACTTAAAATGTTTGCCTTTTCCTGGTCTTTATTAACACACCCATCTCTATTTTCAGTGTACCTACACTTAATTTTTATATATTTTTCTTTTAGAATTGATGTGCTTAAATTTTTTTGGAGTTGGTTTTGCTCCTTTTAGCAGGGTGGTATGATAGAAACATTTAAATACATAAAGAGAATCAACACAGTAAAGGAGGAGACCATATTTAAAAGAAGAAAAACTACCACAGCAAGAGGACATAGTCTTAAATTAGAGGGGCAAAGGTTTAAAAATAATATCAGGAAGTATTACTTTACTGAGAGGGTAGTGGATGCATGGAATAGCCTTCCAGCTGAAGTGGTATAGGTTAACACAGTAAAGGAGTTTAAGCATGCGTGGGATAGGCATAAGGCTATCCTAACTATAAGATAAGACTAGGGAATAATGAAAGTATTTAGAAAATTGGGCAGACTAGGTGGGCTGAATGGCTCTTATCTGCCATCACATTCTATAACATTGTTTGTTAAAACCAGATCCAGACAATCGTCCTTACCCCTACTCTTTTTTCTATCCTTCCTAAATAGTGTGTACACATTTAAGTTAACTGCCCAGTCATGTGTCTGATCCCACCATGTTTCTGTTATGCCATATTGCTTAGTGTAAGCATTGCCTCTAGTTCCCCATTTTGTTACTTAGGCGCCTAGCATTAGTAAGCATACATTTAATATTATCCTGTGTCACTTTTACTTTATGTTAATTTTTATAACTATTACATACCTCCTCTGTTCTGGGCTTGCTGCTCTCCCAAACTCCACCGCCTTATACTGAGCTAAAGCCCATCTTCATTCTGTCCTATCTCTGTTTTGTAGATTTCTATGTAACTCCCACCCAACACAAATTTAAAATTTCCTCCAACCTTCTAGCGATCCTGTCCCCCAGCAGTGCAGACCTTCTTCCATTTAGGTGCAATTCATCACAGCTATAAAGAAGCCAAACATTCCCTACATTCACAAGTCTAATATTGATAAAGTTTGACAAATCTATCAACCTCACTCATTCTCCTATCAATCTGTTATGGGAGCTGTTGAGGAAAATAAAACCAAATTATTTTATAGACAAAATGTAATTTTAAGTCCCCACCCTCTGATGACAGGTGTGGGCATAGGGGAGACTTGTGCCACATCCCCCTACATCATTTCACAGGTACCATCCCTATACTTACAGTTGTGATAACCAGGTCTCAATAGAAATTATAGCAGTAATGATTAATGACAAATAAATATATATTGTAATTAATACATCCCACAGTTTCCCTTTTTTATGTAGTATAAGAAACAATTAAACATTAATTACATAGAAGTGCTAAGTGTCACAAATAAATGTAAAGAACCTATATATGGAATAAAAATGGGATAAAACCCAAATTTAAGAAGAAAAAAAAAACATAATATGTGTTACCACGCTTGACTGTAAAAAGTAGCCCCATAGCACATGTGCAAATGGGGAGGACACATTTAGTTAGTATTGCGTGTCAGCACCCACCTGGCACTCGTTCTGCTCATGCCAATGATTGCAAGTTACAAATAATCTGGGTACCAGATCAGCTGGCGCAGTTTTTGTTAAACACAATACGTGATTGCTATAGCAATATGATATAATTGCTTTAATTTCATTTTCATTTTCTTTGTTTTGTGGTCTGAAATTCGACCATGTGGTATTTCGGTTTGGACACATTTCGACCATGTAATTATTTCAGGAAATCAATTTAAACAAACCACATTGTAAAATATTTCCCCCAAAAAATCTATCTTGATATATTTATATATTCTTTAAATATACAACAAATGAATAAATATGGTTTGTTTACCGCTTGTGCTTTTTTCCCTCTATTGGTCATGTGTCACTCGATTTGTTTAGTCATTCCTTCATATGACGATTCAGAGTTATGGGTTCACAGTTTGTTTGAGGCTGACTGCACAAGTCTACCAACAATTCATGGTTTCAAAGTGGTTTCTTTTAATATTTTACATTTTTTTAACTTTATAGTTTTTTCTGTATTCACAGTTTCTGTAAACTGAGATTGCTGTTGACGTCCCTTCTTTTGGAGTGGTACATTAAATATTGCTAGGAATCCATAAACACAGTGTTTCCGTAACTGTGAGGACCTCAGGCTAATGATGGCCATTTATTGGTGAATTCAGTTACTAAACAAAAAAGTTATCTCTGGTAACTCAGTAACAATCCTGCCTCTGAGAATCTCCTGTAATAGAATCTAGACCTAGGAATTTTTTCAATTTTCAAGCTTTAACTTCTTCCCTTCCAGACACAAAGACTTTCATTGAGCTTCATGTGACACAGGTATCAGCTATTCTCATAATTGACACGTATGTCATGAGGGGCTTTAGCAAGAAGCTTGGTTGTTGAACACTAGAGATGTCGCGAACCGTCCGCGAACTTCTCGTGAACGGTTCACCGCGGCTCGCCACGAGCTGTTCGCGGTGAACTCCGGTCAGCTGACACATCCCGGCCAATCTCCAGCAGACCCTCACTCCCAGACCCATGAAACATGGATGCTGTCCAGGAAGTAGGAGGGTCTGGGAGGGTTGAAACATGGATGCTGTCCAGGAAGTAGGAGGGTCTGGGAGGGAGGGTCTGCTGGAGATTGGCAGGGATGTGTCAGCTGACCGGAGTTCGCCGCGAACAGCTCGTGGCGAACTGTGGCGAACCATTTGCGAGAAGTTCGCGGACGGTTCGCGACATCTCTATTGAACACTGGCTGGAACAATGAATAGATGACACCTGCTTATTTACTGTGATTTCCACAGTGTGATTGGAACTGGCAGTTCCAGAAGCTAAAATATTGCCGGCAGTCACAAAGGGGCTTTCATATAATAGGATCCACTGTCTTGGCAACGTTAATATATATTGGATTTGTTTCCTATTGTAATTTTTATTGTATATTATGCAAATCCAATAAACTGTAGCATAAAATACGAATTTTAACATAACATCATACATTATTAAGGCTCTGAAGATCGATAGCTACATGGAAGTGTCAATAGAAAGATCTAAATAAAAATACTAAAGAATAACATAATTTGTTTTATATTATCAGCTCTCTCTGTTGTTGTTTTTTTTGGAGTTTGATTATTCTGCTGTAATATTCAATAATTACTTTGTTCTTCACATGTTTCCATTACTGGTTTATCGTGGACTGAAGCTGATATTGTATGGTTTGGGGATATTGGAGAAGCCCACCATCTGAGGGGTGATGTCCATGTCCTCTGGATTTTCTGGAGTACTGATATCAAAATGCTGCAAAAGGGTAGTGATGAAAATAAACAATTCTAGACGGGCAAGATTCTCCCCGAGGCAGACTCGTTTCCCTAGGCAACACAAAGAGCTCAATTAGTGCAATCCATGATTATTTTAAGCAAGAAGAGCTAAATGGAAAGGTGAATGAACCCGTGACCTTTACCAGGACCTCAAACAAAACCCATCCGATGCTACATCCACAGTATACAGGTGATGGAGTCTGAACTCGACATGAGTTAATAAAAATTAATTTCCTAATTTGCAAATGGAAATACAATACATAGTACATTACAAATTTTAATAAAAACATACAATATATACGATTAAAATTGCTTCCAAAGCATGTCTATTCTCTAATTTTGAATTGTTGTTTCTCTTGACTTTACACCATTGAACAGAAATTTACCTTTAACTTTAAGTTTTTTTTTTGTTACGTACCATTTCCTCTTAAATTCTTATTAAGGATTTAACAAATTACACCATAATCCAGTTCAGACAAGACAAAGCCATGAAAAACATTGTGCATGAAGAGAAGAAATAGACACATTGTTTCATGTCTCCTCCTCTCTCTATGCTCTCTCTATGCTGACTGCCAGGTGTAAAGGGCGGAGCTTATAACAATGATTGACAGGTAGCTAAGATGGAGGAGGCTCTCTCTATACTGACTGCCAGGTGTAAAGGGCGGAGCTTATAACAATGACTGACAGGGAGCTAAGATGGGGGCGGCTCTCTCTATACTGACTGCCAGGTGTAAAGGGCGGAGCTTATAACAATGATTGACAGGGAACTATGATGGAGGTGGCTCTCTCTATACTGACTGCCAGGTGTAAAGGGTGGAGTTTATAACAATGATTGACAGGGAGCTAAGATGGAGGTGGCTCTCTCTATACTGACTGCCAGGTGTAAAGGGCGGAGCTTATAACAATGATTGACAGGGAGCTAAGATGGCGGTGGCTCTCTCTATACTGACTGCCAGGTGTAAAGGGCGGAGCTTATAACAATGATTGACAGGGAGCTAAGATGGAGGTGGCTCTCTCTATACTGACTGCCAGGTGTAAAGGGCGGAGCTTATAACAATGATTGACAGGTAGCTAAGATGGAGGCGGCTCTCTCTATACTGACTGCCAGGTGTAAAGGGTGGAGTTTATAACAATGATTGACAGGGAGCTAAGATGGAGGCGGCTCTCTCTATACTGACTGCCAGGTGTAAAGGGCGGAGCTTATAACAATGATTGACAGGGAGCTAAGATGGAGGTGGCTCTCTCTATACTGACTGCCAGGTGTAAAGGGCGGAGCTTATAACAATGATTGACAGGGAGCTAAGATGGAGGTGGCTCTCTCTATACCGACTGCCAGGTGTAATGGGCGGAGCTTATAACAATGATTGACAGGGAGCTAAGATGGAGGCGGCTCTCTCTATACTGACTGCCAGGTGTAAAGGGCGGAGCTTATAACAATGACTGACAGGGAGCTAAGATGGAGGCGGCTCTCTCTATACTGACTGCCAGGTGTAAAGGGCGGAGCTTATAACAATGATTGACAGGGAGCTAAGATGGAGGTGGCTCTCTCTATACTGACTGCCAGGTGTAAAGGGCGGAGCTTATAACAATGATTGACAGGGAGCTAAGATGGAGGTGGCTCTCTCTATACTGACTGCCAGGTGTAAAGGGCGGAGCTTATAACAATGATTGACAGGAAGCTAAGATGGAGGTGGCTCTCTCTATACTGACTGCCAGGTGTAAAGGGTGAAGCTTATAACAATGATTGACAGGGAGCTAAGATGGAGGTGGCTCTCTCTATACTGACTGCCAGGTGTAAAGGGCGCAGCTTATAACAATGATTGACAAGGAGCTAAGATGGAGGTGGCTTTCTCTATACTGACTGCCAGGTGTAAAGGGCGGAGCTTATAACAATGATTGACAGGGAGCTAAGATGGAGGCGGCTCTCTCTATACTGACTGCCAGGTGTAAAGGGCGGAGCTTATAACAATGATTGACAGGGAGCTAAGATGGAGGTGGCTTTCTCTATACTGACTGCCAGGTGTAAAGGGCGGAGCTTATAACAATGATTGACAGGGAGCTAAGATGGAGGTGGCTCTCTCTATACTGACTGCCAGGTGTAAAGGGCGGAGCTTATAACAATGATTGACAGGGAGCTAAGATGGAGGCGGCTCTCTCTATACTGACTGCCAGGTGTAAAGGGCGGAGCTTATAACAATGATTGACAGGGAGCTAAGATGGAGGCGGCTCTCTCTATACTGACTGCCAGGTGTAAAGGGCGGAGCTTATAACAATGATTGACAGGGAGCTAAGATGGAGGCGGCTCTCTCTATACTGACTGCCAGGTGTAAAGGGCGGAGCTTATAACAATGATTGACAGGTAGCTAAGATGGAGGCGGCTCTCTCTATACTGACTGCCAGGTGTAAAGGGCGGAGCTTATAACAATGATTGACAGGGAGCTAAGATGGAGGCGGCTCTCTCTATACTGACTGCCAGGTGTAAAGGGCAGAGCTTATAACAATGATTGACAGGGAGCTAAGATGGAGGTGGCTCTCTCTATACTGACTGCCAGGTGTAAAGGGTGGAGCTTATAACAATGATTGACAGGGAGCTAAGATGGAGGTGGCTCTCTCTATACTGACTGCCAGGTGTAAAGGGCGGAGCTAATAACAATGATTGACAGGGAGCTAAGATGGAGGCGCCCAGTTGCAGGATAAAGAGGGGTGGATTTCTATATTTAATTTTATTTTCAACCGGACAAATACATATTTAATAGATATAGGGTTAAGTAAACATAATGTTAAAAATCGGGGAAAGTGAGAGTTCTTCTTTAAATTAATCACTGTTTTACATTGATCATATGTACAAATATTCACACCTCCTTTGTAAGTGGACAAAAGGTTCTTTTTCAGATAACATCTGGTTTTGTCTGTTATCTCCCTGTCTAACATTTGTTGGATGGATTCATAATGTTATAACAATGAATATATTTAGCTTAATTTTTCCCAGTTTATGATCATACCTGCAGAGAAAGCCATGAAGGCCTCGTTCTTCTTAAAATCTCCATTTTCATCCAAGAAGCGATCAGGGTTAAAGGTAAATGGGTCAGGGAAATATTTTGGATCATTCAGAACAAATGTCAGGACTGGAAATACATCTGTACCCTGAGTTAACAAAATAACTGGTTAAGAAAATAACTGGTTAAGAGCCCGCATTTCATGAAAAATATTTTCATCTTCTATTTCTTCACCTTATTGTGCAGAATCATTTGAGCTGTGGCACCAATACCGATACCATTGATCTTTATATTTTAAATGGACACTCTGAACCAGCTCAACTTTAGCTTCGTAAAGTGGTTTCAGTGTAAAAGTATATAACAGTCACACTTCTTCAAACTGTTTTCATTGTCTTGTGATGGAATTCCGGTAGAATTAAAGTTTAGTAGGCCAAGATTGCCACGTGGTATATGTAGGTATATGTGTTTGTAATATTAGTTAGTTAGTTACACGTAGCTAAGATACTGTCATCAATGTACTGAGCATGTGCAGGAATGCAGGAACTGGAATTACGCTCCCTTCTCCTTTGTTTCAGATAAGCCACGTTAGACCGGATGGACGAGTTTAGACTCTGTTCATTGATTGGTTAAGGGTATGTGTGGGCGTAGCTAATTATGGGAGGAGCTATGTTACTATATAATGAATGTACTCCATGTGTTCAGGGCTCAGATATTTTTGGAACAGGAGTTCATCTGAGACCCGATCGGTACGTGAATAAAGGCCTCTTACTTCCTGAATACCTGTGTCCATCTCTCTGTGTTTGGCTTCTGCACGCTTCCACGGTTACAGTCTTAGGTTGAGGATTAACCTTCGGTGAGTATACCTCTTTTTATTTTGCTTTTATAACAACAAAACAGAAAGCACTATTTACTGTTTTTATTCTCATTTTATGTACTTGGTGAATATCTGTGATACTGCAATTTGGAGGAAAATACCCGTGAACACTCGACACTCGGATGCTTGATCCTGACCTACCATCTACAAGGAACAAGCTGAGCGACATATCCACAGGCGGGGATCATACCGCCCAGGCGCATATATCTGGAGCTGAACATAAGCTCCAGAAAATTGTAAGTGGCATTATTCTTAGTTTACCTCACCACATATAGAATATACTACACTATATTCAGTTTTTTTGTCCTTATATTTTCCATACTGACTCACCACCATATGAGTTTGAGGACACCCAGAAGGCGCTGCTTCCCTGTACCCTTTCATGACCTATACCTAGTTACTGCCAGATAGAAGAGATTCTAGTTTGGGAAGTACCAGCTGCCATACCCGGATCTAACAAGCGCTAGGAACCTGACCATCGCACGTAACGGAAGATCTCCATACCTGCCCACCGTGCCTGCCTACTGATGCTGCAGCTGGAGAGCTGATGCTTGCTGTTTCTAAGGTGCCAGCAGGCAGTGTGTATGTGGACTAGTTGGTCTGTATGGAGTGTAAGTGGGTTGCCCATTGTCCACGTTCTCTCTGTTGTTTTTCCTGGTATGTAGCAGACATCATTCTCTTGTGTTTGGTTGTCTGTACCCCATTTTTATACCTCCCCTGGCTTTTAACCACAAATTCAGTAATTACTCAAGTGCTTTCCCTGGGTGGCCGCCATTTGTATAACCAAATGCACGTGGTCCAGTGCCTGACATGTTTGTCTCTCAAACATAGGCAGCGGTACATTAACTTGATGGATTCCTGTAAAATATGAATATGTTTTTGGGATGTTTTTGTATTTTTTCTGTAACTGAGAGATAATTGAGTTACTCAGTTTTGACTCAATTATCCCTCAGACTGTGGGTCATCTGGTAGGAGCTTGTGTATATTTTTTATGGAGACCCCATGCTGGGGGTCAGTGCATAAAAGGCTGTGTTTGTGCTGAATAAACCAGTTGTACTCCCAGAACTGTGTGTTGTCCAGTTACTGGGGGAATAGAGCTATTCACATTTCAGTACCTTGTTCCAGAGTTCCTGTCTGTCATGATTACTAGTTGATCCAGCACGCAGAATTATATCCCACCTAGGACTAAGGATAACGTTTAACTGGACCTTAGAATGTCCAGACTTAATGTATCCAAGAATAGTCAGAATACTTGCCGAGGTCAGGGATACAGAAGGAGACAAGAGGGAAAGCCGAAAGTCAAGGATACCAGAAATCAGGGAAGTCAAAACAAAACCAAAGTCAAAAACCAGAATAATACGATCAGGAACACACTTTTGGATGAACAGCAAAGGGAAACCACGACAGGGCAATGAGTAAAAGGAAAAATTAGTTTAAATAACGCTCCTGCAGATCTGAATGGCCATAACCGGCCCCTGACCCTAAAACGTGCGTGCGCGTCTTTTGCGTGACGTCACACACACGTCGACACCGTCATTACCGTGGGCGGATGTGGGGCTACAATATGTTATGAATCCACAGTGGCTGGCGTCCACCGACATACTGCAGAAGTCAGGCACACTGGCGCAGGACTGCTGAGCGGCACCTCCATTATTGCAATGAAGGCAATTTCCATCGCAAATACCATAAGGTGAGGATGAATTTGTAACACTGTCTTCACATATTCAGTAGAGTAAAAGTCCTTGCCAGGACTAGCGCTCCGCTATGGGCTATGATAGCAAAGTGCCAACAAAATATTAGGGTGATGCTGTCCCACGCTGGAGGATTGTGGTTATGGGCTGACGGTGGGGAATAGTATTTCCAGTGGGGTGAAACAAACCGTTGAGTGGTTTGCCAACTGCCCACTCATACACCTTTTAAAAAAAAATAAATAACAAAAATAGGCATACTAAAACAGCGTAAGCCAACTTAGTGCAACATCATGATTTGATCTATCTGAAATAATTAAACCAATCAAATGTTTTTTTTATGCAGTGTGAACAGACAACATTGGTCTGAAATGATGGATAAAACTATTCAAGCGAACCAAATTGTTTCAGAGTGCATGTTTACATTATATAAAATGAATTAAATCTGTGGCTGGTCCAACATAGAGATACCTTGGGAATGGTGAAGCCACGGAATTGAATGTCCTTTGCCACAGCATGAGGTAGATTCATGGGTAGTACATTGGCATAGCGCTGGATCTCATGTATGACCGCATCCGTGTACGGCATGGAAGAACGGTCTTCTGGTTCCGGGACTCGGTCTCGGCCAATGACGCGATCAATCTCCTCTTGGAGTTTTTCTACAGTGAAAAAAATTTGAGAAGAGTTATGTATAGCTCCAAGCCATCTAATATGGATCTCAATGTAATACTTTTGGATAATCTTTACAAACGATTTAACATTTTTGGATAATCTTTAATATGTTTCAGTAAACTTTAACTTTTTTAAATATCAATATCAAAATATATTATATATATAAAAAAAATTTAATATTAAAATATTTTTCATAATATCAAATCATAGCATGCATTATCAAAAAAATTTAATAATTTGAAGCTTATCCAAAACTACTAAATCAGTAAAAAGACTAGAGTTTTCTACAGAGCCAAAAAACACTGCAAGTAATAATTTGGTCATTGGGTCTTGACCTTACCTTTAATATGAGGATTTTTCAGGAAGAGCAGAAATCCATGCCTTAATGTTGTGCTTAATGTCTCTGTTCCAGCAACAAAAATAGATGTCATGTTTTTAAATAAATTTTTCATGGTGAAATGAGTTGAGGGATTATTTTTTTCCTATAAAGTAAACAAAGTGATTCAAATTATAACTAAAAAGTATTATAATGACATAAAATAAATATTTTAACAGACAACAATTTTTTTAGTGTATCTCTTATGGGGACACTCTAGGCAGCGTAATCACTACAACACATTTTAGGCTTGGACAGTATTCTTTAGCTGATTGTGTTAGAATACTCCTTAAACTTAGTATACGTTGGCGTGATAATGAAGAAGTGTGAACATCGCTTTATCAGATCAGCTCAGACTAGAAGGACGGACACAGCAAGGTAAATCTTCAATATTTCAGTGTCCATCTATTAAAGTGCACAGACAGCTAATAAAAAGCTCTCTACTGGCTGTGCACTTTAATAAAGGGATACTAGGGTCAGTTGTGGATTTTGGTTTTGTGCTGCTGTAGGCATGACAAAACATGGGCAACCCCCTCTCCCACCCCACCTCCAAATTTATCTTCCTGACAGACACACACCCTCATTGATGAATCCACTGACATACACTCACTTACAGATACACAGTCATTTTCATACACTGTTTAACTAACACACAATTTCACTGAAACATTCACAGACGTACACACACTCACTCAGTTACACTCACATTCACAGACAGACACACATATACACTAACTGACAGACACGCATACACACACTGACACATGCATACACATATGAGCATATGAGATATGTGTATCACACACACACTAACACTCACTAAGAGACACACACACTGTCACTAACTGACACACACTAACTCTCACTAACAGACACACACTAACACTGACACTCACTAACAGACACACACTAACACTCACTAACACACTCACAATTTTTGTTTATTTTTTGTTTACATTTCAATCCAGCCAGCCTCCCTACCTTTGGGAGTGCTGGAGTGGATTCTTCTTTGGGGTCCAGTGGCGCTGGCACTGGTGGTCTGGCTCGGCAGGCACAGGCATGGGCAGTTGGGCAGGCAAGCTTACATTGGAGACCGGTGGCAAGGGAGCTCTGATCCTCCTGCTGAGCTCCCTTGCGTGCATCTTAGTGATGTCAGGGCCACAGTGACATCATATCCCTGCTCTGGCATCACTGCGGTGCGCGCAAGGAAGCTGAGCAGGGGAGCTCAGGGGAGAGTGCTCCATCGCTGCCCGCCTCTTACATCAGTAGATGCCTGCCTCAAGGAGGCCGTGAGGTGGCCAGCCGGCCAGCTCCTGGGCCCCACAGGACCAGAGGCTGGCAAGGCATCTGCCAGGGTGATTGGGTGGCTTTTTTTGCCGCCCCCCTGAAAGTGCCGCCCAAGGAAAATGTCTTGTCAGCTTTGTGCTAAATACAGTGCTGACTAAGTTATTAAAGATGTGTTGTTGACACTGAACTGGTGTATGGGCGACACCAGATTCCAGGGTACATGCTGTTTCTCTATTTTTATTTTTATTAGCAGCACGATAAGTGTCAAACCGTTCCTAAACATTTATATTAACAGTGGAATTCTCTCCCCAAAGCCCACCACTACATCCCCAGGGTTCCCCACATCAACTGCCAGGGTCTTCTTCCCAGGAGCTTCTGTGCCTGGGAGCTGGTCTCTTTGTCCCTCAGGCTCATGAGAGCCCGCCAAACTCTCCAGTGCCCCAAAAGTGCCCACACCAATCTCAGGGACCCTCGCCTAGGTCCCTCAATCGAATAATCTCCATTTGCAAGGTCCAGGGGTGAAACCCAGACAAGGGAAGCATCTCCTTTTGGGGTATGAATGCTCCCCCTGGCCGCCGTTCGTCTATACAAATGGCAACCACCCAGGGAAACACTTATTAATTACTTCCTTTGTGGTTTCACACCTATGTCGCGAGTGTGAACGTTCTGATTAATTGGTGTGAAAGTTCCAATGGGGCACCAGGGAGGTCCTCGTTCGGGAGATGAAGGAGGCGGGAAACAATCCACAAATGCTCCCTGTGGTGGTATTCGCCAGTACGAATGGCAGCCACCCAGGGAAGCACTCATTAATTGTTTCCCTTGTGGTTTGCGGTTTTGACACTTATGTTGCGAGATGTCAACATTCTAACATAACATTCTAAATGAGGTATTGGGGTGGTCTCCGTTCGGGAGGGGAATGGATAACACTCCTGAATGGGAAACAGGGTACAGTACAGATATTAGGGAAAAACACACAAATACAGAAAGGGAAATTCATGAATGGACAGGGGTTCTGCCACACATACCTCTTCCATTCTTATAAAGAAACTATCTATCATGTTGCGTGGGCAGTCCAGGTTTAGGGTTTTACGATCTATCTCCATCTTTTCTTGAACAAACTTCTCCAACTTGTAGGCACTTTTGACTGCGTTATGGTGGGGTCCTGGTAAATATTTCATCGCTACATTAAACATGTCGAAAAGCTGTGTGTAAACAGAGAAAAAACATCTGATTTGCTACAAGTTTCATGGATCAGATAATGTTTAATCTCTCACAGAACATTAAAACCACATGTTTCTGGGTTGTTCGAAGTCAGGGGTTGTAGTGCATTTAAATTTAAGAAATAAATGCTTTGAGATAAAACAGATTTATAGGGTTAAATCTCCAACTTTATTTCAGCCAAAAATATATTTTCTCTCATTTCCATAATGATTAACTGCAGTTGCTTGCAGTTTCTATAGTTTTTTTTTTTAATACTAATTTCATCCAGTTTTCTAAAGAAATAGTTCTTCTATTGATAACTAGGATATTAATTTAATGCCACTTTCCTCCACTAATTTCTGCACCAACACAATAACAGTAACAATGAATTTAAAAAGTACAAAATAATTAACCAGAAAGCATCTTCAGTATCTACAGAGATACCTGACGAGATTGTCACCTCCTTGAAAATCAACTGGCATCTCGTGTTTTTGATCCAGAATGATCAATGCTGTTTAACTGAACTGAGAAAAACGTTCCGCTCTCTATCTGGTATACACAGTGCCCTTTACCTGTCCCCAGGGTGACGACATTCCTATAAATATTTCATTTATGATCTGCATGAGTCTTCGGAAATCAGGGTCATCGTACTTATATCTATTCCCAAAAATAATGGAGCATATGATATTAGATGCCACCTGGCTGAAGTAATAGATAGGGTCAATCAGTTCTCCTGAAAGAAAGTAAAGGGGATACATAATTACTATTATTTAGAGCTAGTGGAAATGTAATCAGGACTGGCCATCTCAACCTCATCGACTCATTTATCTTTTACTTAGACTTGTGTATTCTGTTTCAAACACACTGATTTCTCACAATTCTGGGTTGATTGACAAGTTGTCAAATGCCACTGGGACAAATTTCAGACCACCAGAACAAGATTTTTGTTGTTTTGTTCAAATCAGTTATTTTTAAATGTGTGTACAAAAGGTACAAATAAATGCAACAAAAGCAAATAGTGAGCATTTTGCCAGATAAATGGAAATTCGATCAACGGTGCCTAAAGATGGCCGTCAGAAAGGGTTGTGGGAAAGGCAGTCAAGAGATTTCTCCACAAATTTCAATATAAATGAATAAAAAAATGGACGATATGGTCTTATAATAACAAAAATTATATGAAAATATTTTTTTTAAAAAAAAAATGAAGTGGTTCTTTAACTATATAAATCTGTTTACTGTATTAATCAGTGCAATGGGAGGACATACTTTGTTCTTAATTTAAAACTTGCAGGTAAACTTTTCAAATGATCTGTTAAATGTTTTATTTATGGAGGTAACCATTAAAGTATTAAGGGATTTTTTTAAAACAAATCACTTGTAAAGTTTTTTCAAATAGATAGCATAATGTTGGATGATGATTCAAAGAAATTAAATTGAATTAGGTGTATGTGGGAGATGGACTTTTACCATAATGTCAACAGTCAGTCTTGGATCAAGGTGCGAGTAATACTAGGGTCTCACATTCTATTTCAGAAATGATGTAGGTAGACTTTAAGATCCACTAAATTTATGGCTCCTTTAATTAGTGTCATGACTAGTTAATCGCAGACGAGCAATAGGTCTTATATCTTCATGGGCTACATATGCCACGTTTGGATCACTTGTGTGGGTGTAAAAATGTTTGAAAATTAAAAGGTCCATGGGTATGTGGCAAAACTAGCCACCAGAGACTATGTATAAAGATGTATGTATGGCTGCTAAGTCCTAAGAAACCAATGCTATGTGTATTTTAGGTGAATGACGGCATTCGTATGCTGGCGGTAGGAAAACCCTGTTCGTGAAACGAATAACCTACCGAACGCACGACCACACACAGTGGGTCGTGTGGCACCCATTAACCGATTGCAACAATGTTGCAATCGGTAATTAAGAGTGTTTCCAGGTGGCCGTCGTTCGAATACCGACCACCCGGTGGTCGGCCATCTTGTTTCTTTTGTTAGCCCAGCGGTGTTTTGTCGTTGAGCGCCTGGAACTAAAAACGGCTACTCGACGGCACGAACACCGCTGGACTTCCAGGCCGTTCGGGAACCTCGGCCGTTCGGTAGTTCATTCCCCTTACGATAATCAGTATTTTTAACCTATGTTGAAATTATGTGTATTTCGTACGGCGGTCGGTTAGTTAGACTGGGAGCTGAGCGGTAATCTCACGAACGATGTGCTCAGCCTCCAGCTATCTACCTAACGTCCGTTCGTGTAAAAGTAATGAATAATGTGAAAGTTATGTATTTTAATGTAAAAAGTGAGTTCTGCTGCACGGAAGGATAATCCCATTAACGGTATATTCCAGTGGGAGTATCCCTCTCGTCCAGCAGTGTATGATGGGAAGATTGTGTGTGTTGGGCAGTTCCCCATGTAGTCCCCTACTGTACAACCCCTGAAATGTCAGTAGGGAAACCCCTTGCATGGGCAATTCCATAAATACCGTGACCTGAAAATAAACCTCAGTTGACCTCCAAGCTATGTGTCGTCTAGTTCTTGGGAGAAAGGGATTGTAACTACGCTACCTGGATTTTACCTGCTTTGTGCCTGCTTGATTCTGTCTACCAGCGGAGATACCGTGGATAATACTGCTACTCCGCTACAGGGTAGAGGAGAGAAGGATTCTTCTAGAGGAACCAGCAATGCTACCTCACTTCCTTACTTCTGGAAGTTTGCACACAACTATTTTGGCCTTACATTTGAAAGTCACTTTGAATTCATTACATTTGAAAATCACTTTGAATTCACCTTTTCCACATAATTTTCACTTTAGCAATTAACCCTGTATTACTATTTTGATTCATGTTAAAAACTTGGGCCTCAGTTTAATATTTTTGTTTAAGTTTTTCAAATGATTTGATATGTTTGTATAAACATTTAAAATAACTTAATGTTTTGAAAAGAAAACAATATGTTCATATTTTTTTTAATTTTTATGTATTCATATACCTTTTTATATTATATATTTTTTATATATAAAATTACATTTATCCAGAAATATTAAATCATTCCCCCATCCTCCAATCGTAGAGCAATCGTGGTGCTTTATAAATGCCAGAAATAAACAAAATAAAAAGTTTATCAGACAATATGAAATGTATGTCTTGGGAAGATACTATCTAATCAAAGTTTCAAGTATCACTGCTTTATAACTAATATGGTTGGGTTGGTAGGGTAGTAGGTTCCTAGACATTTACACCATTGTTCCCAAACCCGATGAGTAAACGTCCTCATGAGTGTTTACCGTTCTTTCTTTTAAATTCATCTATCAGGAATTGCACCTCTTCCTTGGTTCTGTCTTCAACGGATCGTTTTCCCATCCCAAAATTTTTCAAAGTCTTGATGGAAAAGCGGCGGAGTTCTTTCCAGCGGTCTCCATTACTGAAAATAACACCTGCAAGACACAATCAGCATCAAGTATGCTGTCAAGGAAGCCAAGGAGTAGTGCGTAATGTAATCTGGCTAACACAAAATCCGATTGGAGGTTTTACTTACCATGGCTCATAGTATATGGATCTATGACTGGCAAGAGGCCTCTCATTCCAAATTCGTCTCTGTTGTCCACCAGGGCTTCCTTGACAACATCGTACCCACATAGCACCACCACTCTCCGGGGCCCGAGATACAGAGTATACACATCCCCGTATGTCTTTTGCATCTGTCAATCATGTGACAAGTTATAAAATATGCAAACACAGGGGCTTCTGTTGTGTTAATACCTAGATACTGGCTATATCTCCCATAAATCACCACAGGCAGGTAAAAGTCATCATATAATATCAACCCACAGCTTAACTGAAATTATGGAAAATATGAAATAATGAAAATTATTTTAGGTTAAATTAAATAACTTCTTAGGAATCTATGGCCAGCATGGTGTTTATCATGCGTTCACGTTAGCCTCCCAATGTTTTCCTATGGGAAAGCATTGGATTGGCTGAGATTATGAATTTTGAAGATCTCAGCCAAAGGGGCGGCTGGCATAAAGCTGAGTTTTAACCATATTTAAGGGTATTATCGGGGGGGAGGGAAATAAAAACTATAGGGTCAGGAAAACACATTTGTAATAATCAGGAACACGTTTTCAAGTGAAATGACTAAATATGATAACTCATGCTGAGTTTCATATAGCAATAGACATACCTTCATGTAACCTCAGCTAGCTTGTTTTTCTCCTTTTATTTTGTACCCATCTGCCACAACATTTGGCTACATAAGATTAAAGATTAAATTTAAGACATAAACTAACTATAAGAATAAACTGTAAGATAAGTGATATTTCATAGATACCATTAGCATAGATATATCTAATGATAGAGCAGAATGTTTGCAGTGCAGTTTGATACATTTCCAATGATAAAATAATAAACATATAAGAATATTAAGCGTTTATCTGGTGATCAGCAAATCAGGGGGTAAGGATTATACAACATCCATAATTTGGCAAAGACAACATATGGTATACGTCAGAACTCTGTAAGATGAAAGATAACTTACTAACCAATGCATTGTTAGTAGAATTTGATTCTGATCTGCTCATGGAGATCTATTGAAACTATATATTTATATTTCACCAGAAATTCTTTTTGTCTGTTGGATTATTCTTCCCAACTGGTTGAATCAACAAGGGTCTGTCCATAATTTGCTCAATTCTCCAGGTAAAGAGATGGTGGTCAACCGTAAAACCCCCGGTCATCAGGGAATCCTCAACAGAAAATTGTAAGTGTTTTATCAATTATTACCAGTTTCAAATATACCACACTATATTCTTCTTTCTCCTTTTATTCCCTACATTGGTATATCCCCACTCGAATCTGAGAACACTCCTGAAGGCGCTGCTTCCCTACATCTCCTTTTTATCTACATCTCCTGAAAGAACAGACTCTGGTTTGGGAAGATCAAGTTGCCACACGTATAAGAAACAAGCTCCAGAAATCCTACCCTTTTCACTCGGAGTCTATTTATTTATTTATTTTTTAATTTGTCAATACTTACCACCCTGTATCAAAAAATGGGAAGGTTGATTTGCCATGTAATATTCACATTGTGATTGAGTTGCTGAGTTGCAGCCGAATGTCAACAAAAAGGTAAGCAACAACGTTTCATTCGTTGAAGAAAAAAAATTACATTTTTATTAAAGCTGCTTTATAAAACAGGTTTGCAATGTATACATATATACCCATAAAAATAAAGATTCAATGATGAGGGAGATAAGGACTTTCCTTCCCGTTTCTTCCCGTGTCTTCCCATGCCTCCCCATGTGTCACTGCTGCTGAACAGAACTACCAGGCTATCCTTTCTGTTTGCTTATTCAACAGTTGCATCCTCTGCTGCTGAACCAGACTGTTTGACGGCACTTTCAGCTTTGCTGCTAACTGCTGGATCTCCTGTTACAGAATAGGGCTGCCAAACTACTCGCTGCCTTACTGTGTTTATAAGCAGATACCACCCACCTCATCTATCCTGTGTGAGCATCTATGAATCTATGGAGAGTCTGCTTTCTGTTTACTCTAACTCCAGTACATGCTAAACAAAACGGCTCCCTTTCAAGTCATTTTTTACTGAAGATTTTTCAAAACATAGAAATATAACAATTAAAATTTGGGAATACAACAGGAAGAGGGATAACAACAGGAAAGGGAAAGGAGTTTCCATCTATAAGTACATACATTTTAAATATATTGTGTACATAAATATAAAAAAAATATTATTAATAATTATATTATTAAATATAATAATTATATATATATATAAAATATTATTATAATTAATATTATTAAACATTTTAACATGACAGCTGCTATAAAATGTTTTCAAATAATTCAGGTAATATGAAATAAAAGGAGATATTTTTTCCTAACATCATTTTCCCAGTTGCCCCAATGGGATGTTAATTGGACATTTTGGGGAGAGCGTTGCCTTAATTCCAGTTTGTAGATTTTGTTACCAAGTATTTCATCGATGGAATAGTCAAGAATTTCCAATGATGATCATGTGAGCAATCTCTTTATACTATTCCTATATCTTTTCAGTCACTGCTTATAAATCTGATTTCATGATAGCATGGGAAAGGGATTTGGGACTACAGTTAGAATTGGAAGAATGTTTTAAAACAAAACTGTTTCAGTTTCCCAATGTAAACACAATTCTAGCAATTGTATTAAAGAGGAATGTTCCTAGTTGGGTTCCATGTAATTCAGAATTGCGACTGTAACAGGTGAGTACAAGTGGGAGCATGTTTTAAAGGCTCTCTACCATGTGAGTAAACAATCCATCATTCTACTTGGGCAGGTATGCAGTTTATGATATATTGCTTTATAATTATATTCTAAGCTTTTTCTGTTCTCAAGCTGCAGGAAAATTAGAAATGAGCATAACATAAGAATGTTGCTTAGAATGCTCATAGAAAGTATCATGATAGGCCTTACTGTATTTGTTATCCCAAGTACTCATCTCTTCTTATTAGTTTTAAGATAGGTGTATGCTAATCATTCGAAGTTCCAAGTTCCAAATAGCCATATAATTAAATAAAGAAACAAGTGAGCCAGACATTGAAGCAACCTTTTTGTTTCTTTTATGAAAATGTATAGTGGAAAAAAAAAAGATAGTTGATGGTTCATAACTGTTTTTTTTTTTTATTTGCAGATGAAGTGAGAAGTGGAAATACATAATGGATAAACATATAAATACAGATATTTTTTTTGCCTCTGAAATCACTGATCCGAATCATTCATCCCAAAACAACAACGTGATTGAAATTTATCCAAACCAAACGCCCCTTGGAGGAAATCCCAAACGTCCAGAAATAAATGCACTTTTGGGTAAATCCATTTGGATGCACCTAATTTTTCAGCTTGCACAAGACTGCCATCTACTAGGGAGCTACCATTCATACATGTGGGCTACCTAATTGAGTTGTTACCCATTTCCAGTAATCCCTTACACCATGGCTCATCTGTCTATAATCTTAGTAGTCACAAGTGCAATACAGTCTTGTATCCGCTGCTCACTGAACCTATTGGTGTCTCAGTAACACCTCACTCACAAGACCCAACACTAGCAGAGAACATACGTTGGGGTTGATGTGTATTCTGTACATGGTGACTTGTTTTCTGTACACTGTGATTCATTGGCTTTTTCTTTCTGGAGCCTTTTGGGTGGGATCATTCTGAAACATTCATGTTACAGGTTTCCCGTCTAATGGTACAACCGAGTTAAAATAAATACATGAGTTGGGACTAAATAAACTAAATAAAAGGCAAGTTGCTGAGATTTGGTCTGTTTTAAGGGTGTTTTCTTAAACCCTTTTTAATTTACTTCCATTTGGCTCTGTGTTCTGCCTTTTTATAGACGGAAGCATGGCTGTTTATGCTTTGTACTTCTTGGCACCATCGCACTTTTAAGATCCCAGAGAAAGCATATGGGTTTAGTGAAAGACAAAACAAAGAGTGTTGGTGTTTGGAAAAGAGGACAGGGGAAGAATCTCCGGCTAAGGGACAGAATGTGGAAAATCTGATTCCCCTGTTTGTTAGCCATATTGTGTCTTATAGAACTCATCATTTTTTTGTTGAGTATCTATATTGTGCTTATTTCAACTGAAATAACTTTTGCTCAGAGTTTCTCTAATTTATAAAAAGCAGAATTAGTGATCAATAACTTGCAGTGTTTCAGTGTAACTATCTTTCCTGCAATATAAGCATTATCGATGAGCCAATAGCTTGGCACTTGTCCCATTAGATTACCAACCTTTGACAGGCATTCCAGCATCTGCCCTGACTTCAGCTGAAGAAGGTTCCCGAGAATGGGCAGTGGGGTAGGTCCAGGAGGCAAGTTTTGTCCCCGGTACATGCTGTTCCAGGTGTAGAAACACAGGATGCAGGAGACCAGGAAAATGAGGAGAAGAGTCACTGTGTCCATGTTGCCTCTGAGGGCTTTCTCTGAATGAGTTCTGTTGACAGTCCCAGGTATGTATGTTGTTAAGAGAGTGATGAAATCTAAGACACTCAGAGCTGATGTGTATAGAAGGCGTGGATAAATATTAGCTGGTTTCCCTAATTTGCTCCTCTGAGAGCTGTAAAAAGTTTATTCACTGATCTCTAATTTTTTATGAATTGGAATTGAAATAGCAAAACTCCGGCTAAAATTGCCTCCAAGGCTGTCAATGTTTCCATTGCATTTTAATTGGCTTCAACGTGGCTGTCCGTCAGGTGGCAAAAAATGACTAGAGGTATGGATACAGATGGCAGAGAGACCTTTGCAATGTCCAGACCAGTGATGGTAACACACACTAACAACCAGTGATGGGTAACATACACACTAACGACCAGTGATGGATAACATACACACTAATGACCAGTGATGGGTAACATCCACACTAACGACCAGTAATGAGTAACATGCACGCTAACGAGCAGTGATGGGTAACATACACACTAACGACCAGTGATAGGTAATGTCAACACTAACGACCAGTGATGGGTAACATACACAATAACGACCAGTGATGTGTAAAGTCCACACTAACGACCAGTGATAAGTAACGTCCACACTAATGACCAGTGATGGGTAACGTGCATACTAAGAACCAGTGATGGGTAACGTGCCCACTAACGACCAGTGATGGGTAACGTGCACACTAACGACCAGTGATGGGTAACATGCACACTAACGACCAGTGATGGATAACGTCCACACTAACGACCAGTGATGGGTAATGTCCACAATAACGACCAGTGATGTGTAAAGTCCACACTAACGACCAGTGATAAGTAACATCCACACTAACGACCAGTGATGGGTAACGTGCATACTAATAACCAGTGATGGGTAACGTGCCCACTAACGACCAGTGATGGGTAACATACACAATAACGACCAGTGATGTGTAAAGTCCACACTAACGACCAGTGATAAGTAATCTCCACACTAACGACCAGTGATGGGTTACGTGCATACTAATAACCAGTGATGGGTAACGTGCCCACTAACGACCAGTGATGGGTAACGTGCACACTAACAAGCAGTGATGGATAATGTCCACACTAACGACCAGTGATGGGTAATGTCCACACTAACGACCAGTGATGGGTAACGTGCCCACTAACGACCAGTGATGGGTAACGTGCACACTAACAACCAGTGATGGATAATGTCCACACTAACGACCAGTGATGGGTAATGTCCACACTAACGACCAGTGATGGGTAACGTGCACACTAACGACCAGTGATGGGTAACATACACACTAACGACCAGTGATGGGTAACGTCAACACTAACGACCAGTGATGGGTAACGTCCACACTAACGACCGGTGATAGGTAACATACACACTAACGACCAGTGATGGGTAACGTGCACACTAACGACCAGTGATGGGTAACATACACACTAACGACCAGTGATGGGTAACGTCAACACTAACGACCAGTGATGGGATACACACTAACTATGTTTCCATGAGTAGTCACTCCTGTGAAATATAACCAGTTTGGCGATATCGTTTTTAAAAATGTTTACGGTTTATTTTATTCCAATTCTAGGATTCTTGATTTTCGTGTTCCGTATACTTTACTTTTAATCAACTAAATTTTATTTATTTCTGACCCCAGATATTGCACCTCAGGGATAAATTAAAGGGAATATCTGAGCACTGTACCATTACAGTTTATTATATTATTACAGCTTATTGAATCATTACAGTTTATTGGGTCCTCACAGTTTATAACAGAGTTTTATGTAATGTATTGAGCTAATTGTATTTATACAGCTGTGGCTTGTTTTGTGATAACAGCCCATTGTATTAATGTAGCTTGTTTTATCATTACAGCTTATTGTATTACTGTAGCTTGTTTTATCATTACAGCTTATTGTATTACTGTAGCTTGTTTTATCATTACAGCTTATTGCATTACTGTGGCTTGTTGTGTGATTACAGCTTATTGTATTACTGTAGCTTGTTTTATCATTACAGCTTATTGCATTACTGTGGCTTGTTGTGTGATTACAGCTTATTGTATTAATGTAGCTTGTTGTGTGATAATAATTTATTGTATTACTGTAGCTTGTTGTATGGTTACAGCTTATTGTTTTACTATAGCTTGTTGTGTGGTTACAGCATATTGTATTATGGTAACGTGTTGTAGGATTGCAACTCATTGTATTACTGTAGGTTGTTTTATCATTACAGCTTATTGTATTACTGCAGTTTGTTGTGTGGTTACAGCTTATTGTATTACTGCAGCTTGTTGTGTGGTTACAGCTTATTGTATTACTGCAGCTTGTTGTGTGGTTACAGCTTATTGTATTACTGTAGCTTGTTGTGTGGTTACAGCTTATTGTATTACTGTAGTTTGTTGTGTGGTTACAGCTTATTGTATTACTGCAGCTTGTTGTGTGGTTACAGCTTATTGTATTACTGCAGTTTGTTGTGTGGTTACAGCTTATTGTATTACTGCAGTTTGTTGTGTGATTACAGCTTATTTTATTATTGTTGCTTGTTGTGTGGTTACAGCTTATTGTATTATTGTAGCTTATTTTATCATTACAGCTTATTGTATTACTATTGCTTGTTGTGTGATTACAGCTTATTGTATTACTGTAGCTAGTTTTGTGGTTACAGTTTATTGTATTACTGCAGCTTGTTGTGTGATTACAGCTTATTTTATTATTGTTGCTTGTTGTGTGGTTACAGCTTATTGTATTACTATAGATTGTTGTGTGATTATAGCTTATTCGATTACTGTAGCTTGTTGTATCATTACAGCTTATTGTATTACTGTAGCTTGTTGTATTATTACAGCCTATTGTGTTACTATAGCTTGTTGTGTGGTTACAGCTTATTGTATTACTGTAGCTTGTTGTGTGTTTACAGCTTATTGTATTACTGTAGCTTGTTGTGTGATTACAGCTTATTGTATTACTGTAGCTTGTTGTGTGATTACAGCTTATTGTATTACTGTAGCTTGTTGTGTGGTTACAGCTTATTGTATTACTGCAGCTTGTTGTGTGTTTACAGCTTATTGTATTACTGCAGCTTGTTGCGTGTTTACAGCTTATTGTATAACTGTAGGTTGTTGTATTATTACAGCCTATTGTGTTACTGTAGCTTGTTGTGTGATTACAGCTTATTGTGTTACTGTAGCTTGTTGTGTGGTTACAGCTTATTGTATTACTGCAGCTTGTTGTGTGTTTACAGCTTATTGTATTACTGCAGCTTGTTGCGTGTTTACAGCTTATTGTATAACTGTAGGTTGTTGTATTATTACGTGGTTACAGCTTATTGTATTACTGTAGCTTGTTGTGTGGTTACAGCTTATTGTATTACTGTTGTTGACAGCTTACAGCTTGTTGCAGATTGACATAGGATCAATTAGAGTGGAAACTCCTGACATTTGCTTTGCAATAGACCTAAAGCAGCCACAATGAAAATAATAATTAAAAAAATCATTAACCCCCTCCAATCGTTTGGGAGTGCTATGCCGTCCTATGAAAGGAGGTTTTCAATGAATTTAGGGCAGCATAGCACACCCTACCCATATGGCCTTCCCTATGGCCCGCCTTCTTACCCAAGATGCTGATCACGATCGGTGAACTTGCATGACAACCCAGGCAGTCCTCCTGCAAGCAATCCAGCTCCAGGCGATCTGAGTCATGGCTGTGACACTGTTCTCTGTCCCTCTTTTCCCTCACTTTGATTTGAGGCAAAATATGCAGAGAAATCACTTTTAATGTAAAAAAATAAAACAAGTGGGATTTTTTAAACTCTTGCATTGCAGATCACATTATTAATTATAATTTTATTATTTATATAGTGCCATCAGATTCCGTAGCACTGTACAATGGGTGGAATCCCCGTGATCAGTCTGTTTAGGGTGATTAGTACCTTTCTACTATCGATACTTTTTTTTAATGTAGAAGTTATGTTTTTTTTTTTAATCAATATAATAACTATCTCTATAAGGAGATAGAGAGTGTTACTTCACAGTGACCGAAGAGTAAAAGCTGCTCAACACTAAAAGTGGAATACCCCTTACCCACAATAAAAAACAAATATACAGAAAATGAGGTATAAATATTATACCAAACAAGTGGAGCGCTATAAGCAGTGAAGGGATTCACTCACCCCTTTAGTACAGTGACAATCTTGAATATTATAGCTTGAATGTACATATAAAACAAAACAGGAAAAAAAACAAGAAATATAGTGCAGATGGTTCACAAAAATAGACAATTGATGGTAATAAATGACTGAAACCACTCACATGGACAGGAGCCCATGCAGTATTGGCTCCGTAAATAGATCCTTTATGCTCTTTGGGCAGCAAACACACCCCTTTATCCCAGGCAGTATCCCTCCAGGAATATGCAACGAAAAAGAAAGCAAAAAACGACTGTGTAGAATAGCACATACTATATTATTATAAAAGGTGGAAATAATTGCGCTCACCTTCACCAGAGCCCTGAAATCCCGGCTCTGAGGTTGATAGACAGTGTGCTTTTTTAGGGGGGATAGCACTCTCCCCTGTAGAGTCCCTGATGGCTAGAAAGGACTTTGGACTATAGTGTAAAATAATAACATTACATTTATTAACAGTACAATAAAAACAGTATAAATACGTTTTAGAAAATAAAAAATCCAATTGAAGTCCAATTAAAAGTCCAAAGATTCAGTTAAACATGTTTCACTCTATGAGCTTCCTCAGTAGCTGCATAACAGCCTCAGGAATCCTTCTTCTTTTTAAATGTTTGAAAGTCCATGTGGATCCTCCTCTTGGAGTCACATGGTGCGTAATTGGCCAATCATCCAAACAGGTTCCTTCCTATATTATGTGCTAGGAAAGACATCTGTGGTAAAAAGGTCCTCATTTGCTAAAAGTGTTGTCAATTAACAATAATGTTTAATGACATGGTAGTAACATAATTGGGTAT